CAGAAACCATGACGGCCTGAGGGTATATGATTCATGTGCTAGTGCGTGCCTTCAACTCTGCCTGCCCTCGAGGATGTATATTGACTAACCTCGCATAGGTCTTCGAGCCTATGTTGGACCCCTTCTTGGCGCCCTCACATTCGGTGGTATCGGTATGTTGTATCATGGATGTGGATGATGACCTCGGAGTGCTCACCCGCGCTTCCAGGTTAAGGGCAACTGTTTGCTTGCTGTGCAGTAGGGTGCTGAGGGTCGTAGCAACCGAAGCCCAGTTGCTCGCAGGCAGGTAGGATTCAGTGGAAAGGATGGCGAAACGAGTATTATAATATGTATTTCCATGTATGCCGTTTTCTGTAGCTTGATTCGTAGACTTGTAATGCATACATATCACCAATATCGCGAGCATAGAAGTAAAACTGTCGCCGCTGGGTGTGACTCTTCGAGGCCATTCACAGAAAAGCTCAGCGAAAGCCCATGTTTGCGCCAGTGAATCCACCTCGTGAAACCGCGGCGGAGCCATAGACCCGGTTTCAGGTGGGCAGTCCGTGAATTTCACTTTTACTCATTGAAAAGTGGTAGCTTGAAATATGATTTTCGCAGGCTTAGGCCGTGAAACGGCTCGTGAATTTCACGTTCTCCCCGCCCTACAGTGCCTGCGCGTAGACATTGGCGCGCGCCGGGTCACGAGTCACGGTTGCCCGGCCCGGTCTGAGCGGCGACAGGCGACGACCCGCAGCCCAAGCGCTCATTCGTCAACCATCCTGATGATCCTGAATGAAGTTCCTCATATGGATACACACACTGTCTCTCTTTGATAAGCATTCCTTGCTTGTAATGTAACACATCCTCTGAACACCCCGCCTATACTTTCGTCACCACAGACTTCGTGTCCCAGGTATCTGAGCGCCTGCACCTGTGCCCATCGCATGACCGTGCTCACATCCCGGAGCATACGCCGACCTGCTCATACATTCTCTCGGATAATGAAGTGGCATGGACTGTGGGTGGTGGCCTCGCAATGCCCACCGCGACGACTCCGTCACGCATTACGAACACGCGTTGCCCCGTGGCCTCCGCAAGGCCCGATGAACTTCAAGCGGACGAATGTCTTCGTTCGTTCTCACTTGTTGCGGTCTATGTCAAAGCTTCGGCAGCATTGTCAACCATCCATTCCATCCTATGACAGCCCGCACCCATGAAGACCGATCGATCAGTACAAACCGGAAGACGCTCGGTGTCAAGTCCAAATAACGTGCAAGTGCAATTTCACGACGGGACGATGGAGGCAATAGGCTACATCAATACGCGTAGCGTACTTCGGCTTGTGGTGTCAGCGAAGCTATCTCCAGCTCAAGATCTTGCTGGCGCCGACTTTCTGAAGGTTTTCCTGAACGTCGCCCTATGTGAGCACTCTTCGTCGTCTGTCCATTCGGCCGTCTCATACGTGGCTCTATAGGCCATTATACTGCCTGGACAACGGCCAACGTTCGTCATAGGGACATCAACCTTGCGAATATCATGTGCAGCACCGACACACAGGGCGAGAAAGCTGGCATTCTGATCGACTGGGATCTTGCAACGTTTGACGAAGACCACCACGATGGTTTAGAGCGTACCGGCACTGTCCCTTATATGGCGATGGTACTCCTCGAAGAAAGCACGGAGGGCTCTATCGAGCACTCATATTGGCACGACCTCGAGGCGTTGTTTTGGGTGCTTGTGTGGGTAACCTATCCCGCAGGCACCTTCGCTCCCTGGGAGTCTGGCACTTTCGCTCAGTGTCGCAACGGGAAATCCGGCTACCTCAGCGCAGGACCTAGCACAACCCGTCCAAAGGAGAAATTCCAGGGCGTTGAGCTCCTTGTTTACCGGCTCAAGACGTTCTTCAGTGAGATCAACGACAAGCGCACTCGACATCTCAACTATGCGGCGTTCCTCAAGGGTACTGGTTGGGCTGTGCCTACTTTCCAGGAGGAAGCACCGCAGGAAATCTGGAAGGCTTTCTGCAAGCTATTGCACGACGTGATACCTTTCATGGACCTGCCTGATCAAGTAGTCATAGGGCAGGTCATAAAGGATTTCCTTGTTCATGCGGATAACTTCTGATGTACCTAGTATTCACTCGACTTGCGATTATTTCTCCTCATGCGATTCTCCAAAATTTCTGACTCCTTTCCATACATCCTCAGGACACTGATACAGTGATACTATATGTGCTTGCGTCGGTTTCGTACATTTGAAGTTGACCAAGTATAGTCATGTAGGCGCCTTGTCGCCCTCAGTACAGATTATCCAATAGCCGATTCCTCAGCCGAGCCCCTTCGAGGTTACTGTTCGCTAGGCATTCATGTTGTCTGTCGGAGATAGAGCTCATAGTACTAATACATCGCGTCCGCTAGCTCGGCTTCACGCCGGTTTTGATATCTAATATACAACAATGGACGTCTGCAAGCAAGCAGATACAATACGACGAGACCCGACCGCCTATGCAGACTCCTGCTGTTCTTGGCGGTGCTCCGCCAACAACCTGTCGAGCGTCTCCTTCTGTCCCACAGCCAACTCTCCGCTCTGGATACCAGAGTGGTACACCCTCAACAACGAGTCGACGTCGTCCATACTCTGCGTGCGCACGTCGGCAAGCTCCTTGATCTTGGCCGTCGCGTCCTTGATCTCCTCATCGGTGAGCTTGAGCCCGAGCTGCTCGACACGAGACTTGACGGCGTTCCAGCCTGTTAGCCTGTGGCCGATCGAGACGTAGCGCGTGAGACCAAAGTCTTCGGGCTTGAGGATCTCGTAGGTGCTCGGGTTGTTGAGGATGGCCTTGGCGTGGATGCCGGCCTTGTGCGTGAAGGCGCAGTAGCCGCTAAAGAAGGGATGAGCATTGATGTAAGGTAGTGGAAGGAGAGGAAACATACGTGATGGGGTTGCTGAACGGTACGTTAACCTCCACCGCCTCGGCGATCAAGTTCTCGACTTCGCGGAGCATGGGAAGGTTGTACTTCGACTTGACGTATTCCGGGTTTGCGGCGTACATGCAAGCAACGAGACCACCGAGAGTCGTGATACCAACACGCTCGCCGATACCAAGGACGGCTGTTGGTCATGTCAGTAAAACTCGTCGTGCAATGCGTGTAGATGTCTTACAAGTGTCAATATGTGTTGCGCCGGCCTCGAGAGCACAGTATGCGTTTGCGATAGCTAAGGCACGCCAATCAGCACCGAGAACGTCTGCGTGAGCTCAGCGGGACCCACCCATTCCGGTATCATTGTGCAAGTGGATCTCGATATCGCAGCTCACGACACTTCGAAGGGTGCGAACGAGATCGTAGACTTGACGCGGGTTTGCACAGCCGACGGTATCGGCGATACCGACGCGGTCCACGCCGATCTTGTCAACGGTCTGGTAGATGGAGAGCAGGTCGACGAGGTCGGAACGGAAGGAGTCTTCTGTGGAGAAGCGGACTTCGAGGCCCTTAGACTTGATGAATTGGATGACCTCGATGGCGGTCTTGGTGATGTAGGTCATGTCCTTGCCGTGCGAGAATTCGCGGAGGAAGGAGGATGTGCCGATAACGACGTCCACGCCGTCGACACCTGTTTGTTTATCAGTATATGGACTTATGATACTCATAGAACTACATACCAGTCTCGACTGCAATTCTTGCGTCGTCCATGTGGCAACGGATGTGGGTGAGGATCTTAGACTTGAGGCCGAGCTTGCAGATGGCCTCGCAGTCCGCGCGTGACTGCTCCGATGCAGCCGGCGACGTGAGCTCGAGGTACTCGACACCGAACGCATCGAGCGCCTTGGCGATGGCGATCTTGGTCTTGGTGTCGAAGAAGGCGTTGGCGAACTGCTCGCCCTCTGCACAAATAAGCGCCACACTTCAGCACGACCGATCCTAGGAACCACGTGCTACTACGACATACCACGGAGGGTAGACTCGATGATCTTGAAGTTGGAGACGTTGTTCAAGAAGTCTGATGCGCGCGGAGCGTACGGGTTGCGCTTCTGCTGCTGGGACGGCCCCGCGCTCACGTTGTTCTCGATACCGACCATGTCGGCCTTGGCAGAGGGCAGCTGGTCGCCGTTTTGATGCGGGCACATTGTTGAGTTTGTAGTTACGCAGGGTAGTGCGGGGTAAGAGTAGACGGGAAGATGAAGGTAGAGAACAAGTCAATGAGGCGAAGTTCAAGAACGAAAAATATAATGCCTGAGCGGAGTCATCAACCAATCCATAAACGGCTATGACGCGCCACGCTCGCTACGGCATCGGCCGTGCGTCGGCCGACTCGCCCCTTTCTCCTCCCCGAAGTCCTCGACGGCGTCCACTTTGACTTGTACGACGACTAGCTCGCTAGATGCGTCGTTCGCACCGGGTCTCATCATGAACCCCTTGGCAGTTGCGGTCGCAAAATGGCATCGCGCATCTCATGCACCGGTAATTGCCCCAATATCCGCATACGCTGCACAACATCCGCGCCGGCGCCGGTGAAGGCGCTGCCGCAGCCGTCAAGTACGTCGGCACTGTGGGCGGAAGGTCCGCTATTCCCTGCGCATTCGTCCATAAGCAGCGTTCCCTATGTGTGTCATGTTGGTCCTCACCGACTCGTCGATGAGCGTGGCCAAGTTCTTGCGGTACAGGACCGCGCTTCGCACGTCGTGCGATGACTTCTTCTTCTTGCCGTCCAATGCCTCTTGTCTCTTATCCGAGATTGGCACTCGCGCGCGACCCTTCCGATTCTTGCTGCTTCCTTCACCTTCGTCCTCGTCCCCTTCGAGATGCGAGGTGGCCGCTTCGGAGTAGTTTGATCGCTGATGTGGCATCAAGGCGTGCAGACGGGTGTAGTTGAGCCTCGCGACGAACCTCAAGCTCATCGAGATGCTTCTGCGTTCTTCTAGCAATGGTCTCGCTGTCTAATGCATTCTGAGTCTGAGTCTTGCGCTGCGCTACATCTCTAGTCAGCGTCTGCCGTGCAGACTTCGTCTTTTCGACATATCTTACGTTGGCGTCTGGGTGGCATCGTATCTCACTGCCTCAGGACTCTTTTCACAGTAGATGGAATGGAAGGGGCACTCGTGGTATGGAGCAACGAGGTGGCCGTTCGACTTCAACTTGAGTCTGAGATGACGCGGCACGCACGAGCGCGTCTTCTCAACCCCGAACTAGGGTTACGCCGTGTCTCGTTCGTGGACTCGACGCGTAGGATGCACGAAGGACTTTTGACTCTACCAGTACACTTGCGTTTCGTTTTCTGGGGTGTGGCGTAGAGAATGATGCTCTCCACAGAAGATGCAGGTTCTGCGACTCTACACGATATACCGGATCTTGAGGTCCTCTAGAAGTTGGCGCCTTTCAATTGAGCGTTGGTGTGAGCCTCGCGCATGACCGGCGGCGACATTCTGTCGCTTCTGGCAAGCAATCATAACAAAGATAGCTCTATCTTGCTCGACTCAGAGACGCTGTGAATGCTTGGAGCTTGGTTCTCGTCAATGAAAACGGTCTTTGAACCGGTTGTAGGGGTTTCTCTCACTGAGATGCAACCAAAGATACGGTAGGCCTGTTGCTATTGGACATGATATAGGTTGAGATGCCATTGGTATCCTAGGCCTCTAAGATGCGTATCTGCGTGAGAGCTCATTCGCAGGCTGCTCTCTACATCAATCAATGCGGCTCCGGCATCGACACCGGCAACGACGCTCCTCCTCACGCCTGCCGAACCTCGCGTCAACCCCGGCAACACTTTCGGAAATACCTCTTCATCCATGACGAATACACAAGCCCACGAGCCCGAGCACAAGCACAAGTATAACGCCCATTCGGTCACAAGCCTAATAGTGTTCCTTTCCCCTGTACTAGTCGATAAAAGCCGTATTTCGACCTGCACGGCGGCGCGAGCCAGAAGCTAGATGTATCGCCAGTGGGGTAAGCGATCGCCAAGGGGAGATGGGCTGCGAGCTGCTGAGCCATGCGGAGCTCGTTACGCAGTCTTTTTCGAGTAGATTGGGGACGGGGACACGGGTAGAGCCCAGAGTTGCGAGCCGGGGCATAGATAGTCTTTAGATGCCGCATCGCGCCAGGGATCGAGAACGACGCGCGCTGCGGCCGCGCAGGACGCGGGGGTATGCCGCCTCATGCCCCGCTGCACGATGAGCGCTGCTTTTCCGCGCCTACAGTCGTTAGAGTCGTCACATCTGCGCCAATCGCCCCGCATTCCTTCTTTGCGAGCCAGCCGGTACCCCACAGGCGCAGGCGTTGCGTAGGCGGGGAAATTAGCATCGAGTTGCTCCGTGGAATAGCCGAGGTTAAACTGCGGTAAAGAGCGGCTCGTCCGAAGGCGTAGAAGACATCTTTCTTCGACCGTAGGGCTGGATTAGGAAATACGTTACGTGCGGGAGATGCGGAGAAGTGTATTGGTCAGGGTCTGTTGACCGAGGCACCTGGTGCGGCACAAAGACGAGGCGGATCGCTGAAGTTCCGATCCTGTTGTCGACGTAAGGATCGCGCTGTGCTATTCGATAGTCCCGACTAATCGCCCTTCGTGTTGTGATGTCGAGGACGAGCACAGGCGAGAGAGGTTCGTGCCACGGCTGTTCGTAGAGCTTCGCACACAATGGTGTTTGTCCGGAGCTTGATCGACGTCCTATACTAACATCGCCTTCGTAAGCCTCGAGCTTTCCTTCCGCGGAACGAAGTCGTTCTCGAGGTCTTCGCCGTCGCCAGACAAACGCCGCAGTGCCCGGTCAAAGGCCATTGCGTATGCGTAGTCCTCGATGCCCAGCAACAGCGAAAGGGACCGTTGGGCGACGGCAGATCATGCGGCAACAAGGGCCGGTCTTCACACATGTCAATCCAAGCTCAACAGCTCGCAGGCGGCCGGTCTGATGCTCCTGCTCGTACAACGTAGAAGTTCGTATAGAGATGGAGACGCTGGAGCGTGAGCACGAGGCTGGGGAGGAATTCCAAGTAAAGCAGTGTTCAAGCTTGAGGCCGTCCGGTACCGAGCGCCAGAGAAGCACGTCTGGTGCCACAAAGTTCTGGTATGAAATCGAGATCGAGGTCGAGTAAACCTTCTTTCGAAAGCGAACCCAGAGTAGCCGCCGGAACGACTGATCTACCCTGGGAAAGGACGGTGGATACATCATGCGCATAGAGTACGCAGACCAACAGGCGCTCTCGGCATCGGGCGCCCGAGCGCCCGCTGACAATACAAGAGTATTCAACGAAAAGCGTCCACGTTCCCAGTGACCGGCCCTTTTCGCTTCCTTGTGCATCACGGATAGATGAGCATTGCGAGGGACGGGTTGACCCAGAGAAATCGAGGGTGTTTTCCTAGATGCTGGGAGCTGTGTATAGAGAGCGGTGGAAGATGGAACAGAAAATGACGAGACAAATCAGCCCAGGTCGGCCACGGCGATAACGGACCAAATAGACGCACATTGTGTTGCACCGATCGACCAGATACAATATCAACGGGATTGAGTAAACTTGTCTTCTTTCCGAGGCTTGGTTCGGCAAGACTTCGGTCTCGAGATCCGAGCAGTTGCTCAGAGCGTTCAGAAGTGTATGTCGGGTTGGGTTGTGAACTTTGACTTTGTTTGAACAGATCGCCCTGTGATACTGAATCGTGAGTTCACGTCTACTGTGCGTAGATTCAGGTCCTACCGTAGTCCGAAAGGATGATTGAAGCTGCCCTTGTCTAGAAGACGGGCTGCCAACAAGCCAACTTCCGAAGATATCGGCATCAGCGGCGGATATCGAGACGAAATATCAGGAGAGAAGTCGAAGGGTCGCCTGACATGAGCTGGAGGGAGGATGACCACATAACAAGATATTCTGGAGCCGGTGGTTCTGATCAAGTGGCACGTAGAGCGCTCGAAGATCGACAGCGGGAGATGAGCTCGTCGGAGCAGCAGATCGGGACCGGAGAAGAGCGGCGTGCTCGTAGAGTACAGACAAACCTCAGCTCCCTCAGTTCCGCTGAGCAACCGATGATGCACCGGCGCTAGTACTGATTTGAAAGAAGGTAAAGCCTCGCAGATTGAGACTCATCACAGGCATTGAGGCAAGCGAGAGCTTGTGGCAGTCAGCTGGTCCTTGAACCATGCATGTTGACTCGGTGCCAGTCGTGCTCAGACCTAGAAGGACAACACACAGACTCTCTCGGAGGCAGTGGTATGTTGAGAGCGTGCCATGCGACTAGAGCCTGCGATTTGTTGGATGCGATCGAGTACGAGCGAGAAGGTTGGGAAGCACATGGCCGGCGACTCGGGGATATTGACCCGCTCTGAGTCGAGCTTGAACATGTCATGCTGCGAGAATATGTTTTCTGGGTCCAGAGGAGTGTAGAGCATGTATGTACAATGCTATGTGCCATATGCGAAGTCGAGATGGTGGCAGGAAATGAAAATGCCTCGGCGCGCATTGGGTGGCCGCGAGCGCGTTGTGTGTCCATGTTTGACCGAATTTTCGTCGCGTGCGCTGGCCATCGGGCGTGACGCGCCTTGACGCGACCAGACGCGCTCTGCATCGACGTCGACCTCCCTGAGCACGCTGACAAGCGGCATGCTGTGCGTTTCACTACTTATCTTACACCATCCTCATACTAATGTATGATATAATATAGCTGAGGACTTATGTTCAGTAGACGCGCATCAACCTACCTTCGCGTCACACCTGCTCGCCTCAACGCCACTCCTTCTCTCGGCCCATTATTTCGCCCTCAACATGCAAACTACACCACCAAGAAGCCACGATATAGGCCAAATGAACCGCACAGAGCGAGGTCGCCGTCCAGACCCCTCGAGCTCGACCTCATGGACATCCCCGAGCCCAACGAGACCACACTCGAACCTCCGAAACCGCAAGAGGAAACGGTCACCTACCGAGGGCTCGAGTTCAAGGCGGTCTACAAGAATCTACGGCTTGGAATTACCACCCTTCCTGTACCCAAGTTTCAGCCACGTGATCTCATCGCTTTCTGCCTCGTCGCCCAACGAAGAAAGGACTTCAGCGTCATCAAGAACCTGGCCGACTCCATCTTGTCCGGTGCCAGCCCCGGCGGAGACTTGTCGAAGGACTGGGTTATCCCACTACTTTTCCGGGAGAACATTGTCCACTGCCAGCCGGAAACCATCATCCAACTTTTCGCGTACCTGCCAAACAAACACCGTGCCTTGCAGGCGGCGACGTTGTTCGCACATCCCGGCATCGTCAACGACCCAGCAATGCTCGCGAAGGCGGCGCCACTTTATGGCGGACCTCCGGAACCAGAGGAGCGCGTCTGGCCCTCGCTTGACATGCTCGCTCAGCTCACGGCACACGGACTCAAGACTGAAGCGCTCTCACTCCTGGAGCGACTCGTTACTACGGGGAGGATACCACCGGAAGCTTTGCGCGGTGAAGAGCTCGGAGTACGCGACTTCTACGCGATCGTACATGTCGCTGTTGCACGCGCATGCCTACACTGGAACCTTCCGATGCAGGCTGCCCGCCATACCTCTCGCGTTATCGTTCACCTGACGCGAAACAAGGAGCCTCTCGGCGAAGTCGGCACTTTTGCTATCGATATGCTACGATCTGTGGTCGTACATGCGGGAACGGAGGAAACCATCGCGGCTGTTGGAATCGTTCGGGCGTTACTACTCTATCAAGACTCGCCACGCATTCCCGATGGAACATTACATGCGCTTTACGAAGCTCTCTATGCCAACAAGCTGCCCGAGTACGCCGCACGCGTCTACGGTTGGACCCGAGCGTACCCCGTTCGCGGACACTCATACCCTCCTCCTCGCGGGGAGCCTCTTGCATGGCTGATGGAGCACCTATGCGACACCGCTAAAGATGCATACCGCGCCCGGCTCTTAGCGTCACATGTCACGGTCCTGGACGCTCCTTTGGCGCCAAATGTTCGCGCGAACTTCATCACGATGGTGGCAGGCCAGGGCTTCGCGAATGCTGCACGGCTGCTTTGGGAGCGGTACTCCAGTGGGCGTTTCGGCGCCGCTGTAACAGCGAACGCGCGACTGCTCGTGCGGATGGTCAGCCTCTTTGCCAGCCTGGCTCGTCGAGAGCAGGTCCATATCGACCGTCTCGAAGCGGAGCAGTCTAGCCCGGATGCCGATAGAGAGCAGTTCATGCCTTCTCCCGCCGCAGATGAACCTACCGAGTTGTCAGCTCGGCCGAGTGAAAGCGGTGTACTCGACGGTACAGATGCGACTGAAGATGCGCCAGCATCGGGCCGATCAAGCGGCGCCCTCGCTTCCTTTGAGGCGTTAAGCGCGTCGTACCCGCTATCGGACGAGAACGCAGGAACGGACAGTTCGACGGCGTACTACCCTCTTCAAGAACGCCGGGAGAGGTACGAGGACTATATGTCGTTTGCGCGGCGCGTTCGGGGGCAGTTCGTTCTCGCGAAGGGCCCGCTTGGTTCCATGAACTCGTGGGACATCAACGCTCTCGCTCGCGCGCACTTCCTGCTCGGTGAAGACGACGAAGGGTTCTCGGCACTGAGCAAAGGTCGAAGAAGAGGACGACAGCCTGATGCATACGACGTAGCCGTGGCGTTGGGCGCTGTCGCACGTGACGATCCTGTTGCGGGTTTCAGACTGCTGCAGACGCTTGCCGCGCGCAAGAGGCTCGAGCCAGTTGCGCTCGGCACGGTCATCCATCATCTCCTACAAGCCGGTCTCACGACGAAGGCCAAGGAAGCGATGCGATTGGGGCGCAGACACAATGTCGGGCTTGATCTCAAGTCTATGGACAGTGTATTGCGCGCCACACTCTCGTTCAGTCAACACGACCATGAAGTCCATCGCGATAACCTTCGTCGAACCCTTGCCATTGTCCGCGCCAACCAGACTGCGCCAGTACTCGCTGTGGCCAGCATGGGATCAACCTGTGTGAATGCGGCCCTCGACGCGAAGGATAGCGCATTGGCATACGATTTCTGGCATGAGATCATGCGTCCGACGGTGGATCGCTGGGACGACAAGCATGTGAAGCTCAGGAAGCGCCTTGCTGGGCTCATCAGGCAGCAGGCGAACTTGATAGGTCGCGATACCGCTCATGCCATGATTGCCACGCTGTTCAATAAATCGGGCTTGTCTGGTCCATTCGACGTTTCGGGCGTCGGGGAGGAGTATGGCGTGCATCCCATAGGGATGGAAGTGGCGTATGGTCCTGTGCATGGTGCCAAGCCGTTCGAGGAGGAGGTGGCGGTGTGGGACGAGAACGATGCGAGGCGGGAGGCGGCGGAGTGGGATGGTGTCTTGGACTAGGCGTCCGCGGGGTAGAGGAGTCTGAGAATATTTCGTGGCGTGGTCCGTACGTGTAATGCTATCGCTAATTTGTGCCAGCAAAGGATGTTTGTTCTCTCGAGGGTCTGGTCATGCTGCTCGGTCATACCGGTGTCCGATTCTCGAGCCATGGCATGCGCAGTCGGTTCTATGAAACCTCGCGGTATGTCCCCGTGCGCGGCGTATCCCGTCAAAGCGACGGCGAACAGCAGTCTGGATATGGATGGTAAGCGACAGCGGACCGTACCATTGACTCCGGAGCTGACACTGCGTGAACAATGGGCGCTGTAAGGCATACTGAATGCTTGTCTTGTCGTCATGTTGACGCTTGCGCCCTCGGCGCTGAACAAGACGTCCGTGCCGTCGGGGGACGACCATCGGTAACTACGTATCCCGCGCGCTCCTTTGACGAGCGTAGCGAAGAGACTTTAGAGGTGGCTGATCGCCAGGGCCAAGGGGTACGCGGTCGTCGGTCGAGTTGCCGCCCAACAGTGTTGCGATGTCTGCTCAGTTGTCGTGTTGCTGAAAAGAGGCCGCCGTCGCTTGTGGGCGGCGGTCGGGGCCTGTCGGGGTCGTCGGCTACCTATGCGCTTGTTGCGCTGCAAAGCCATTCACATCCGGCCGAGGAGTGTTGTGATGCCTAGCTACCACTTTTGACAGCGTATAGAGATAATCAAAGGCTTTATGTCAATAGCCCTCTGCGGCCACATTGTACAATCGACCGCCGAGGAATGCCTTTCGCTATTTGCCTCTCATCTGACTAGAAGCCGGGCCGCCATAATCATGGACCGCGTTGTCCTCACTACACGCAGGCGATTGTGGCGCCCATATATTTCGTTGATTGTTTGGCGCAGTGTTTCGTGTACGCGCAAATGACGAGCTGTAGCCCGATCCGCGCTGTCATTTGTCGAACAAAGCGCCGTTGCATGTGCTGTGATAGTCGGAAGTCGGACAGGTGTAATGGTCAGGAGGATCGGTCTCGCGGAGGGAACAGCGCGAAAGCTCGATACAAACGGACAATGGTACTATGATGAAACACCCGTCTGACATGCTCGGGATTCATCACGGTGGCAAAAGGAGACCTCGAGGGGCTGGAGAAGGCTGAAGGCGACAGGCCACCTGGCATACGAACACAGGCTAACGGCAGTCAGAGAAGGAATCCCACCGAGAACGCTTGGCCGACGAAAGAAGAGAGCGGCTCCTGTGGGACCAGGATCACCGGCCCCATCGATTTGACAGCAGGCTCAGACTGGACTGTTTTCGGCAGCAGAGGCCAGGATTCGCAGATGGGCTGTGAGCAGGAGGCCCCTCCCACGAGGGAAAGCGTCCGATGTGCAGGACGACGAGATGGAAGAGCCGTCACGCGCCTTGGTCTCGGAGGAGAGCGGCGGAGGGCTTCGCATAGATTTACACGTGGCCCGGTCGTACCTAGAACGATCTGTTCTGTTGGTTCAATTGAACGCTAAATATCCAGCACCGACTCGCTGGCGCGGACGCGAAGCTACAAAGCGGCCGAGGGTGTAGCATACGGACGTGTTTTGCCCTCCCCCAAACCCGTCCCCGCCTCGTCCAACGACACCATGCCCGCCGCCCGTGCAAAGAAGGAGAACGATTCCGGTTCGGACGAGGCGCCTACCAGTACCAAGGAACAGTCTCAAGTAAAACGAAAGTATGTGACCCCGATGTTTGTCCGTGTGCCCCGCCCTGGCCTCTCTCTCCCACCTTGACGTTCGTCGACCTATATCGCCTTACCCCGCATCGCGCATCCTTAAGCCCCACCGTTCCCCGCGATCCCCGCTTCTTCCTCGCGAAAACGTACCCCAGAGACCACCCATGTTCGAATCATTTCACTTCCTGTCCCGTTTTTGCCGCTGTTTGACGTGATGCTGACTTGACCATTCTTGACGTGCAGGAGACAATCTCAAAGCAAGTCGATTTCCCTCTTTCGCCTCACTCGCCGCCGGGATCTGCGCTTCTGTGCGGTCTCTGGACATCGCGTCGCCATTCTCGTCGCCACGGCCCGATCTGTAGAACGGTACGCTAACCTACTCCCGCCCCCACAGGCTGCGACGCCTGCCGAGCGCGCAAGGTTCGCTGCGCACGCGAGAACCCCGACGACCCCCACAGCTCCTGCAAACACTGCATCGCGCTCGGGATCCCATGCACATACGAATACCAGCCCAAGAAACGCGGTCCGCCTAATCTGTGCGTCCGTGTACTTTCACTTGCCTTGTGAGGCGTGGCACAGGCGCGGTCACGTCTCGCGTGCACACCCTCTGGCATTGTCCTATCTTGTCTTAGCATGGCTGACATACGTCGCCCGACAGGTACCTGAGGCGCTTGCAGGAGGCGGCAGCCGCTGCAGCAGCAGCTCAGCAGGAGTCTGGAGGAGGCCAGGATCCGTCCGCGTCGCCCATTTCGGCAACCACGACCCGCAGCCCGACTTTGACCACGACAGTGCAAAAGTCGCCATCTGTGTCTACGAATGTGCCAAGTTTTCTCGAACAGTCTATCACGAACGGCGGCTCCCTCGCCTCTGGCCTCTCGTCTTCTCTGAACTCAGCCCACTTTGCCTTGCCGACAGACACTTTCCAAGTGCCATCCCATCATAGCCCTGGTTATGGCAGCTCCGATGGACGCCCGAAGGAGTCGGATCCTTTCTTCGTACCACCTTCCGATTCCTTCAGCACATACCCACTCTACAATTGGGCTTACCGGCAGCAATCTCTACCTCAGTCATCTCCACTACCGGCTCTCTCCGCATTCTACCGCTCCCATCGACTCGAAGATATTGCGCCACGAGACACGATCATGCTGATTATCGCCCTGTTCTTTGACTTTGTCTACCCTCTCACGCCTTGCGTGCACAAGCCAAGCTTCATGGCAGATATTCACGCACGACGAGAGGAGCGTGACCCATTATTCTTTGCCCTGGCGATGAGCTTGGTCGCCAGCACGCTCGTTCAGCTGCCTCGGGCGTACTTGCCCATGGAGCGGCACGCTGTCCGCAAGCTCGCCCAGACTTGCCATGAAGCCAGCAGGCACATATCGGTCGTATCTTATGACCCTCCAACCTCCATGCACGTCGTGATCAGATACTTGTGAGTGCTCAACGCCCACTAAGGACCGCGCCACAAAATCTGATTGGCTTGATGTTCCCGTCAGTGACTGCGTTTACCATTTCTGTGAAGGTCACGATGCGACACAACATGCCGCCTTCGGTGAGGCCGCCCACATCGCTGTCACTCTGCGCATGCATGAGGAGTCTTCATACGAAGGACTGGATCTCATCGAATGCGAGGTCCGGCGGCGGACCTTCTGGCTCCTCTTTGGTGGTGAGCAATTTTTATTCGCCAGCCTTCGCACCGGACCACGGCACTTACGGCGCGGATAGCCGACAAGTCAATGAGCATCTTGCTCGGGCGCCCAATCTGTCTGCGTGACGAGGACTGTACGGTTCACTTTCCCAAGGAAGTGGACGATGAGTAGTGAGTCTACCGTTTTACCGTGGACCGAACTTTGCCCTGACTTTCGCCGCGCGCTTCTTCCCCACTTCCTCGACGCTTCTCGTGGTACCCTCCGCCCGCGCCCACTCACACCCTGCCCATTCTATTCTCCCGCCGGCTTTCCCCAATGCGTCTGATTGGGTCTTCGTGACGTCGTAGCATCACGCCGAGTGCGTACCTCCCACAGCCGCACGGAAAGACGTCGCTTGTCTCCGGTCTCAACTTCATCACACGCATCTTCGCTTTACTCGGCGAGATCCTCGTCCGGATTCGCGTTGACAAGCGCTCGCCACCACAAGGGCAATATGCGACCGCACGGCTGGAGGAAGTGCAACAGTTGCATGCTCGGATTCTCAGCGTGCTCCAACATGCCCCCGAGCAGCTGCGTCTGAAGCAGTCGGCACCAACTCCCACTGCGATGCCTGGCGACCCTCTAGGGTTGGGCACAGGATTCCGTCAGGCTACCTTTGCGGAAGTCAAGGACTTCTTCGACAACCCGCACGCCAGCCGCGCGAACGCCCTCAACCCTTTCTTGGTGTTGCAAGCCAACCTTTATGTGACTCAGCAGCTCGTTCGCTTCGTCATCGAGCAATACCGGGACGAGCTCATCGTCTCCCTTCGCGGTGGCATCGACGAGCAGCGGGTTGCGGACGATCGCGAGGCTGTGGCGAGCGACTTGCTCAACATCTTGCACAACATCCCGATCCAGAGTATCGCCACCAACGGTCCCTCGCTCGTGCACAAAGTTCGCTTCGTCGCCAGCACATTGCTCGATGCTGTACGCAAGGCTGAGACGGCGCCCGCGAGCGCTGCGCGTGCACACGCTTTCCTTTGTGAGTTCCCTTTCACTTGACACGCAAGGTCGTTCGCTGACAGGGGGAACACTAGGGGACTTCCTATCCATCTTGTCGGAGATCGAGCGTAACTACCTTCTCGATGACGAGCGCGACGGCACGTCAAGCGCAGATGGGAACCAGATGATGCTCTCTAGCTGAGTGGCGACTGATCTTCACACTTGACACTACCTACCCATGACTCTACGTACGATTACGAACGCTTGCCCATTGACTGGTGCCACCACCATCCTTCTTTCGGTCTCCTCTTCCTATACCCCCTTCCATGCTACCCGTAATCGCGCTGCTCACTGCTCTCTCCTTGCTGCCCGTATATCCCCCCAGGCTGGTTACTTCACCTGGTTACATGCTCTTTCCCTCCGTCGTCGTCATATTGGTGTTGTATTATGGGCATCGGCGCATGTCAAAACCCCGGGTCTCTTGATGCTTATCTTCCACAGGCGTATCTATTCGCTCGTAGGGATCCTTTACTGAAGCTACACTGTATCATATCTCCGGCTCCAATGCATGTGTACATTATAGTTTGACCCTTCATCTCCGTCCTGTGTGTGACCTGTGCGATGAGAGCGTCGTCAACGAAGGGACAAAGGGAGGCAAATGTGCGGATGTTCGCGCCGAACATCCGAAGATCCCGAAAGTCGAACAGGCGCCACAACGCGTTTGACCTGAACCGCCAGCAGTGCTTCTCCCGACGCGTCCTCGGACTTCTACTCGCGTCTGCCACGCATTATACCTTCTGCTGACCTAGAACCTCGACTTGGAAGACACCGCCATGTCGCTTCATGACCCTGGAAGTAAGAGCGCACCCGTGTTGATCACGGAAGGTGTGTGAACTCTTTCGGCTGTCCTATCTGCTCGGCTGGGCTTCTGACCCTACGGCGCGCTAGACGAGGGTGCGCTGTACGACCGTCAGATCCGGCTGTGGGGACTGGAAGCGCAGCAACGGTGCGTACAACTTCTTCATCCATGTCAATTAAACGCGCTCTCACACTCAATGGCAGCATGCGCAACGCGACGATTGCCGTCTTCACACTCCGCGGAACGGCCACCGAGACTATTAAGAACATTGTATTGGCCGGGATCGGCAAGCTTGTGGTCGTTGACGACTCGGACGTTGCCGAGGAGGACCTCGGCGCTGGATTCTTCTTCCGAGACGAGGACGTTGGCAAGAAGGTCAGTTAGGCATTTCAAGTTCTATGTAGAACCAAGGTTGACGTACTCCACAATACAGCGGGTAGACGTAGCTCGTGGTCGCATTGAAAGCTTGAATCCCCTGGTAACGGTCCAGACTGAGCAACGCTCCCTCCTTGCGACCTCGGATGCCGACCTGGCGGCGTTACTTGAGGGCGTTGATCTGGTATGCCTCACTGACACTGACCGCGATACCTGTGTGAGTGGTACATCTAATCTTATCCACATGAGCTTGCGCCACGGAGGTATTCACGTACTACACGCAGATTCGCGTGAACAAAGTGTGCCGAGAGCGGTCTACGCCTCTCTATTGCGGTGGCACGTTCGGCATGCTCGGATATATCTTCTGCGACCTGCTCGTCCATGAGTATATCGCGCCGTGAGTGAGCCCATCATCTTTTGTCTTGCTCGGCATCGCAGAAAACATGTGCTGCAGTCTGCAAAAGCCGATCTCCGCGGAAAAGAACGGCGGTTGCCCTCAGGCGGTCCGGAACGTGCCTTTGCTCGGACCGCTTCTTCTCGGCGGCCTGACTTGCATTGGATCTCCTGCTTCCTTGCCTACTGCCACCTCCATGTGCTGTTCCTGAACAACTGACCGATTTGATGCTATAGAGATCGGTCTGGTGTCAGCAAAGATGGTCCGAAAACGGTCAAAGCCACGGCAACCTACGCATTCCTCGATGCTGCTCTGAAGCACAGCTGGTCCAGCATCTCGCGTAGACAAACCAGGGAGATCAACCCCGCCGCTATCTTCACAGTGCAAGGTACGGACAATGGATCCGACTTGTATGATGACGATCTCATCTAGCTCGCAGGGATATGGGAATATCAAAGCCTGCACCAGGGTATACTGCCGACTGAACCTGAACATGCTGATGAGCTGGAGAAGATCGCCAATGACCTTGTTGAGCGCGCAGGCGTGAACGGTCAAGTGCTTACAACCATTCCTCGAGAACAGATAGAGTACGTCAAGATCCTTCGCACACTTCGGCGCGCAAAGTTTGCTAATATGAACTGACAGTGTGGCCGCAACAACCGCGGCACATGAATTCTCGCCGGTTTGCGCTGTCGTCGGTGGCATGCTCGCACAAGATATCCTCAAGGCGCTCGGCGCCCGCGAGACTCCGTTGGCGAACTTCTTCGTCTTCGACGGCGCAACTGGAGCAGGAACCGTCGCCCGACTAGCGATGCCCTAGGATCTCAAAGATCTCGAAATTCGAATTCAATCTTCGTCTTTTCGACGTGTACCTTCCAAATTTCCCTGGAGACTCCCTACGGCGGCACCGAGGTGGAAGGTTTTGTACACATGACCGGACTAGCTATACGACGATCTTCATATCGACTGGGGCGAACACCGCGGCCATGTTGAGATGGTCTTTCGTTCGTTCTGTACCATATGCGCTGCTTCATATAGCTGCCCTTCGAGGGTGCTGACCATTGTAAAAGATGCAATTGCTTCTGCCCATGTGAATCTGCGCTTTGTCGGAGTTTGAGGATGTATGATCTCGACCGATCCAGGTCAAAGTCATGGAGCAGCTCGGAACTGGCGTTCTCCGATGTCCTTCGCTATGCTGTCGTTCCGTTGTACGGCGGCGCATTGTTTGCCACGATGGCCGAGCCCGCGACCGTGGATTGGTTTAGAAGTGCGCACCGGGTGACTGGCGCAAAGAAGCACTCGATAACCCTCCTGCCGCGCATAGATACGACAAACACGAGTCGCTCTTGTGAGCGATATTTTGTCCATATTGAGATCCGCTGTCTTCCTAGAAGTCAGTGCACTTGTCTTCTGATACACTCCCTTTCAATCGGTGCAGCGTTGTTGTGGAGTGGGTCACTACTCACTAGTGTTGTAGGTCCTGTTTTGCGAAGCCCGGGACTACACGAGCGCCACGCTGCCATACAAAGCCGAAGCTTGTTGCTCCCAACTGCCAGATACTCTGTGCGGTTAAGGCGGAAGGGGCTGTGCAACTTCCCCGCCGCCTGAGCGTTTCGGTTGTCAGGTTAGATCCAGACGAGCGAGAAAAGGCTAGGTGCCGGCGATGCTCCGTCCAGAGCTCATCGACATCCCGATACCTGTATCCGGGTGTGAGCGCGCTGGTCGCACTGGCACAGGTGTCGGACACACGTCTACAACGACCTTCTTGACCATACGGTCATTAGATGCTTATGTCTTCTATGAACGGAATGGTCGACATCGTTGGGCATGCGGGTGGGAGACAATGCTAAGCCAGTGCTTAACGTGTAATCACTCCGAGACAATGCCGCCAGTCTACCTCGATCGACCGTCATCGCGTCATTGTAGCATTGCACACTCGGTGATACAGACTTACTCTCACAGACGTGGGTAGCGGAGTACAGCCGCATAGACCGATTGAGCCGGTTTTGAGAGGTTGCTATTCCTCCGAGTGATGCTCACATCTCCGCATTCACAATCTCGCATGACGCAGAGATCGTCATGGTTCAGGCGACTGTCATGGCGAGGCTTCGTCGGTCGACCGGAACGACCTGTGTGGCGTACGAATGAGAGGTGTTCGTGCGCATCGTCAATTCCTCGCCATCTGGTTAGCCTGGCTTCCTCGGCCTAGCGGTTGTACGTTACCCGGAGATAGTGGTACATGTCTCTCGGCTCGTGTATAGGTTCCCAAGCCGGACGATACCTTGCAAAGCTTCTCAAATAAGCGATTTCAATGGTGTTCGGCCAGTGCTTGAGACCTTCGTGCGCGCATGCGGAGTCTAGCCAGATGCCATGCGTGTTGTTTGAGCTGTCTAGCCTGGCGTGCTTCAAGAAGCACAGTGGGTCTCACACTACAGCAAACATCAATGAGTACTTTCCTCGTTTCACCGTTCACCGAGCTCATGCTCCTCCCGATTTACAATGAGGAGATGATAGATGCCCCTATTGCGAGGCAATTTTGGCGGTAGCTTAAGTCACAACCCAGGGCAACGGCTGGTACATGAGCTTTCCTCATGCCAATTCATATCGATGGCTTCGTGTTTACCTGCACGCCAAGCGATGGCGCTTGATTCCAGCAGCTTACCATTACTCATATAGCCACACCATATGTGCTATCATGTGTTATCTCATTTCTCAGATCGAGAGCGCCGCATGTCGGTGTGTAGCTAAGTCTAGTCATGAGCAGGGCCTCCAGTCTAAGATGCTTGCGATTCGACGTGGTCGAGACTGCCCCGGGAGTGCTGCAGGAGTTGGAGGGCGATTGTAAAGTTTTTGATACGGCTGGTACAGCAGAGTCCACGAGCGACGTGATTGGAGATGTGAGGATATTGATTATGTTCGACGCGAGGCGAAGTCGTGGTCGGAAACGAAGCTCGACGCGGGGCGCGCGTAGCGCGAGCACCGCCACAGCCAACCCTAACCAGAGTGCCGTCATCACATCATCGATCAACGTCTAGCCGCGCCCGGCGGCGCATTGAGCGCTCGGCTGAACCGTGACCCCCACCACAAGCGGCTGCCCTTGAGGAGACGTTGTCTATGCCCCTTTAATCCGTGATATCCACCTCGTCAAAGCGAGACTCCAATACAGCCAACGATTTGGTCTCAAGGAACTCCTCCAGAATCGACGCGATGTCAGGGTTGTCTCTCCATAACACGTCGTCCAACGCGCCCCGAAGAGCATCGCAAAAGTGCCTCCATGATTGCTGAGGCGCAGTCTCACTGACTTTCATAACTGTGCTTGCATCTATTCTCTTTGCCTTGCGAAGAGCCAGCGTCTCCTTGCACCTGCGATTGTGCCCACGAAGGAAGTGTAAGAGCAGGCCGTACTCGACTACGGCCTTCACGCCCTCAAATCCATGTCTGGCCCGCAGCTTATATTTGCCGTTATGAAGAAAGACGAGCTTCTTCCAACAGTCATCCTCAAAGTCATCGGCGGTCCAACTCCGAAATGTCCCCCGAGGGTGGCACATCCATACTAGTATCCAGAAGAACTCTTCGAGCGAGTGCCGGTAGAGATACTCGATGCCTCCATCGGGTTCTGCCAGGAAATCCAGGGCCATGAAGGGTAAGGTCCAGGGAGGTTGTCTCCCGCTTCGACGGTCCCAAGAGCAGTCGGGCGCGAGGTCCCAATCGACGAGGACGCCGGATATGTCGCCGAGGTCGTTGACTCTGTACTGCAGGTTGAATAGGTTGACATATTGGTGGTGTATGCCGGATAGCCATGCATCATGATGACCTGGAAGATGAGATTGTTAAGAAAGCCGGCTCCGTTCGAATATAGAAGGACCTCCAGCGCTAAGACGCACCCTGCATGCATTGAAGAGCGGCCTTAAGGAAGTGTGCGTCGACGAGTTCTGAAGCTGGCCTTAGGTTCGTCGGCACGACGCGAACACGCGCACGAGATGCCTTCACGAAGCCATCAACAGAGAGACGCCGAGGTGGGTTTCTCGATGTCACAGTCATCGTACGACAGTGAAGTCTTCGGGTACGTGAGCGGCAGCGGCGATGGAAGGGATCGACAACCATAGCTGAATTGTCGCGACGGACTGCACGACAACTGCACGAGGCCACCTGCAGGCTCCGCCCATGCGGGCAGGATGGCCACTACAGTCTGCACGGAAGTCCGCCTCGTGTACACTAGGTTCTCAATATATCGACATCGTAGAGCTAGTTTCAATAGTTGCAAGGCGTGTGCGGTCGCGGTAGAAGTGAAGCCTGCCGGCAGCTGCGCGCCGCGCCGCCGCGACATGAAGGTCGCGTCGTCCCAACCCTAACCTGATAGTTGATCCGCGTGTTATTCAAGTTCACACGCTCGGAATCTCAGGGCAGCTTCGCTGATGCCTCTCTTGACTAGTGTTCTCACAGATGTCGTACTGAGTATGGCAAGATAGCAGTAGTAGCATAAGTCGGAAGACCATATTCAACATTAAAATCGGAGGGCATCCTTTTCGGAATACATCTGCACATCCCCGCCAACAAGAAGTACATCCCCGGGCCTGCCTACATAGGTTCACCGATTCAAGGCCAATAAATTCGCCGCGGCAGGGGCCGCCCAATCCTCGTATAGTCTCCTGGGTGCACACCTCGCGCAATTGCTGAATAAATCCGGGAATCCGTTAAGACACTCTCCGTTGACGCTGCCGCGTATGATTCCAGACGACGCGCGGGATCAGACTCTCGAGCGCGGCCGCCACAGCGCCCTCCTCGCCCTCCTCCGGTGGCCTGGGATCAGCCATGTACAAGATCTTGATCGCACCTGAGGAAATTTCAGCTCTGTCCTCCAAGAGCTGCACGACCTGCCGCTTGAAGTTCAGCGACATCGCGAACGATAGATGGAGTTCCTCCATTTGTGGGAAACGTCTCGCCACATCGGGGACGAGGCGGGATAAAAACTCCCATACCAGTGCGCACCCGAGCAGGCGCGGAGGTGCTAACACCTGTAGTGCTTGGAGTCCAGGAAAGGCTCGGAAGAGCGTCGAGTGCAATAGAAAGCGATCTTCGGGACTGCGTGCTTTGGAATTGGCATCAATCGCCAACATGGTGGTGGCCTTCACAAAGTGTGCGATGCCAGGATCGTTGAAAACGACATCGAGGGGGAAGTTGTGGACATCGATCTTCGCGCGTCGGACAGCGTATCTTTCCATGAGGGGATGGCCCGTAGGCATCTGGCGATCTGTGGGCAGGATCGCGAAAGACAGCTCTTTACCCGCCGAGTCGTCGCTCACGTGAATACCTATCGCATGTGCAGAAAAATCAAAATCTCCAAGGGCACGCTCGAATAGCTCCCTCAATAGATTGATGCCACTGGCACTCAACGCCTCTTCCATGGTGAATTTCGGGGATAGGGAGATGACGACGCGCTTCGGAAAGCGCAGAGATGGATAGATGTTTCTCAAAGATGTATTGTCGTAGCTTCCATCAGGGGATTTGGAATATGAAGTGGCAAGCGAGAGCGCTCTAAGTTTGCTCAAGTTTATGACCGGCGTGGATAGCTGAGTGGGCGAAGCATCGGCCCAGGAGCAGCTTCTTATAACAAGGATCTCGACCAGAGGAGTCCGGTTGAGAAGGTCCATTGTCTCGTCCAAGTAGAGGCCCGTTAGGCTGATCAGTGACAGTTCTCGCAGACACGGAAGAATGTGAGGAAATGGGATCCTTGAAGGAGACTCTTTGGCGTAGAATGACGTCTTGTCGGTCAAGACCGTTATCGGTTGCTGCTAGAGCTGAGATGTACTATGGCACAGAGAGCGCCATTGTCTACAGACACGCGAGACCACGTTTCCCCCACCCAGTCGTTGCTCGTGTATCTCGTCATGCGCGCCTTGAACGCGCCATGTAGTGGGGTTGCTGCTTGTAACGAGTGCAAAGATGTGAATGAGCAACTCCGGGGGAAGGACGTTGATGGGCGCGCATGCGTTGCGGAGATGCGTTACATCGTTGATCACATCGAGAAGAGCACGACGCTCAAGTTCTAGGTGTTCCAAGAGGTTCGCGCGTTGCGTCGGCGACCCGGTACCAAGTATCGTGTCGGTCTGCAGGTCCGATAACCGAACTGTCATCAACACATCCCATTCCATTGCCCAAGAACTCGACTGATGCATCTCAGCTTTGGAGTAGCGTGGATGAGGTGCAATGACTTACTGGTATAGACATCTCGTATGCGAATGGCCAGGATGCTGGTGGTGGGAGCCAAGGAACTCGCGCGTCGAGCGCTGACCCGACACTTCCATATCGGCTTTTCCGGCCCGCGATCACCGCTGCCTGTCTTCGCGGCCTACGTATTTGTGTTGTATCCGCGCGCGGGAGACTCTATGCCGCGCACCTGCACATTCAATGAGCTGGAAATGACCGAAGTCACACGAAGGCGGCTCAAGTCTACCCCCAGTCTCAACTTGGTTCACCACGTACTACTGGTACCACTAGTACCTATACACGGCAGTCCGTAGAAAGTATCATTGTCACGGGATCCTTCATGTAACCTACTCGCTGTCTGAGTCTATGCTACAATAAGTGCTCTTGCTCCAGATGACATGCACGAGGGCCTCGAGTTCGACGGCTTGCCGATGACCCTCCTCGTCCTCCGATGGCGGCCGTTTCAGGTGTAGCCGAAGGGTATGCAACCTGTTTTCGGGATGGGAGACCCGTTGTCTCATACGAGATAAGATGTGATTCATCACATTCTCCCGCTGTATGATTGGGCAGAGCCAGAGTTCCTCAAGGAGTGGAAGGGGAAATCCATCCCTCGTCGACGGGTCGAGCACCTGGGAGAGAAAGGTCCAGGAGAAGCCATTCAACTCGTGTTGGACTGATGTTTGCAATACCCGGATCTGGGAGAAAACATCGAACAGAACAGCATGCGTTATGCCAACCGACGGGTGGGTCAGGCAGGTGAGAGAATCGAACGGGAGGGAAAGCATGGTGACATCGCGTAGCTGGTCGACGATTTCGCTATCGGCGAGGATAGACCTGGTAGGAAGTGCGCCAGTGACAATGGACATGGGCCAGACTCTGCGTTTGACTTGCAGACGGTAATAATAGTGAGATATCAGATCTTCGAAGGACACCATATCTGGCCTGAACCACATGATATCATCTCGCCCTTCGTCGTCATCATAGTCTGGGTCAAGACAGGCGCAGACTAGCGAGCCGTGCAGCTGAATGTCTTGCACGATGCGCCTGACAAGACTTTGCATCATAATCATATCCTGCTGCGCCGCATCCGGAGTCCCACTGAATGTTGGACGGAACCGTCGTGCGGTATCGTGCGGGTAGAGTAGGCAGTTGAGAAAGAGCCTGAAAAGCTTGCCAGCGCCTGCAGCGTCGGATCTGGTCGGAACATAGAGGTGATCCATCGTCAAGCCTCTCAGCCTTGAGAGGTTGATCCGGACGGAGCCCGGCTCGTCCAGTGTGTGGTCGACCCACTTGCATTCCAAGATAGAGAGGTCTTCGAGCAGCGGTGTCTGAGAAAGCAGACCGAGAGTTTCGGATAGCTTCAGACCAGATAGGCCTTCTAGACGTAACGTCCTGAGCCATGACACAGCAGATGGTATAGGCACTGCTCGCAACAGCTTCAACTCGCGGTCGCCCAGCCCCGTGACTGCAAATGACTGGGTCTTCGTCAAAAGGCGAGTATATTGGCTATATCGCGGTGTAGTATAACAAACGTGTCGCCAGCGTCTGCAGACACGAGCTACCGCAATCCATCCAACGTCTCCTTGAGCTGTAACAAGTTCACGATCGTAACCGCCGCGCAACCTCCATCTCGGATACGCATTTTCGGCGGCAAAGGTGAATGTATGATGGAGTATCTCGGCCGGGAGAGCGGATACGGGTGCGCAGGCATTGCGCGAGCTCATAATATCTGAAGCAATGTGTAGAATGGTCTTGTATTCCGTATGAAGTCGTGCCAGTAGATCTGCGCGGTGCGCGGGCGAGCCGGCCAGGAGCTCGTCGTATTGCAGCTCCACAAGCCGTTGCTTCTTCAAGGAGTCCCAGAAGTCGAACGACTGATACTGTCGTACATGAGCAACGCCGCCGTTGATGCGCCTCGTTGAGAGCTTACAGGATCTGGCATTGACATAGCGAACACTCTGAAGATGGCGGTTTGAGCAAACGATGTGCGCGCGCAGCGTGCCCCGGACGCGTGCACGTTCGGCATTTACCGCGGCCTCCTCCTGCGGACGGACCGGGACGGTGCAGTGCGGTGCGGTCAAGGGGGGACCGTTGAATAAATTCCGGCACGGACCCACCCCGTCGTCTGGCATTTGCCGAAGCACTGTGATCGCTTCGGCGTGATGCCCGCGACTGGCTGCGACGCGCGCGTTGAACGCATACCGCGTACTTCCTCTTGCTCGAGTGAGGGACCAGTCCTCTAGGGAGCTGAAGATGCGCGGGCGCGAAGCGCCCGCGCTGGAACGCCGAGAGCCGAGCGAAGCGAGGCTCGAGGCGTCGAAGATAGACATCCGTCGCGGCGCGGCGCGAAGCGCCGCGACGTCGACGGGACGGGCAGGGCTTGTTGTGGCTGATACTATATTGCTCTGACTATGCATGTACTGGGCGTCTTCTAGATTCATTGTATCTAGCACAACAACTGTATTGCACAACATGCCAAGTATGAAGATAGATACAGACTCTAGGCTCCGACAGACCACAAACCAAGTCTACTCGTATTCACTACATTAGGATGTCCGGGCTCTCTAGAGCTTTAGGAAGTATATTATATAGGTTTCGGGATATCCAGCCTGCAAACGCACCGTCCCGTCGACGTCGCCGCGCTTCGCGCCGCGCCGCGACGGATGTCTATCTTCGACGCCTCGAGCCTCGCTTCGCTCGGCTCTCGGCGTTCCAGCGCGGGCGCTTCGCGCCCGCGCATCTTCAGCTCCCTAGAGGACTGGTCCCTCACTCGAGCAAGAGGAAGTACGCGGTATGCGTTCAACGCGCGCGTCGCAGCCAGTCGCGGGCATCACGCCGAAGCGATCACAGTGCTTCGGCAAATGCCAGACGACGGGGTGGGTCCGTGCCGGAATTTATTCAACGGTCCCCCCTTGGGTGCGGTGTTTGCGTACACCCTCTTTCTCTTTGACCACGCCTTGCATTCACCTCGCAATATGCTACACAACGGGTTCCTAGCATGTCGTAAACTCATGGCTGGCAGAGTACCGAAGTTTACATTGGACTAGTATCTACAGACATGGTGGCTCTTATGAATCATGTTACCACGGGCGACCTCGGGGTGGCGCTGGCGGGGGTGGCGCGGGCGCTGGCGCATTCCAAACAACAGTCGGTATGATTCTCTCGAAAGCTTGGGCCTCGGAGCCCCATATATCATCGGCGGCCGGGCGCAAGATGCTCAGTCGCACAGTATGAAGTGCGTTGTCCGGTTGTTCGACTCGACGTCGTACGACGTCTACAAGCCTCTGCATCGTGTCGATATCCTCATCGAAATGCGTGAGTGGCCCTAACCAAAGCTCTTCTAGCTTCGGAAAGCGATCTTGATCAGTCCCTCCTGCCAGCCACTCCAGAAGTTGCCAGGTGCCGTCTTCATCCTGCGATACGTGTATAATCCGGACGTTGGCGAAGGTGAGGAAGAACGGCTTGGGGCTCTCCCCGTTCTCGCGGGAGTTGGGCATGTAGAAGCCAAGCCAGGAGGTGCTGAATGACAGCATCGGGATGTCTTGGATGAGGTTGGAGATCTCGAAGTCCGTGAAGATCTCGTCGAGGTAGAGTTGCCCCATGTGTAGCGTCGCGCGACCGACATTGTATCTGTATCTGTCGGGCTCGGGGATCGAGTTCGCTTGGTCGTACAGAGCGAGAATATTGTCGAATGTAGTCATCTCGGTGAAAGAGATGGCTGAGGGGTATGCTTCGAAGCAGGCGCACAAGGAAGATGTCGGCCATCCGATCTCCGACAACATCCGCGTCATCAGTCGTCGGAGGACCCGGACACCCTGCACTCTGCGTAGCTCGACCCTACTCATTTTGACATCGGGTACGAGGGTGATAGTCGCTTCATGCGGAAAGTGAAGGCGGTTATAGAGGATCTCTACGGTCGCGGCGTTGGGCGGCTGGCCTTGATCGGACTCCACGCCGAACTGAGCGAGCGTGAGAGACTTCAGGTTAGGGAGAGCAACGGTGCCAGCCTGCGAAGCCAAAGAGTATTGCCTGACAGAAGATGCCGTCCACCGGCATCTGGTAATGTCTAGGGCTTGCAGTAAAGGAGTGCGACCAAGAAGATCAAGCACCTCGCTGATCTCCAGGAGACGGATAGCGTCAATATGGAGTACGCGGGTAGCGGGGAAGAAGAATGGAGGTGAGCGCGAAGCTCCCGTGTGAATGAGGCCACGATATGTAGATCTCGTTCTCGTTGCGAACGATGTAATGTCGCTGAGAGGCTGACCGGGGTTCTACCAGCGTAGTTCAGGCGCGCTGTGGCATGCTTCCCGCCAGTACCTACAGACGTAGGTGACGGCGATCCAGCCTAATGATCCCGAGTAATTTGGTGCCGGGTAGTGATGCGTAATGACCCAGGTAGGCGGCCAAATGTCCGCGAGGAATTGGAAGATGTGGATGAGGATCTCTGTAGGTAGAGAAGGCAACGACAAGACTGCAAAGCTACTGTAACGTCTAGCCGCGAATATTCTGAATCCCTGTCAGATACTGATTAGATTTGGGTGCATCGCTAGACGAAGCGCCTTACGGTGCCTACTTCGGCCATGGCTCACTGTTCACCACGGCCGCGATGAAGGTAAGACGCAAGTCTCGTTCGCATCGCCACACCTCACACGGCTCAGCGCCTACTGTGTGCACGCGACAAGGAAAGCTATTCCATACAGCGTTACAGGTTGCACCGTTGGTCATGCATAGCCATACCACCCTTCGTCTTTTCTCCCAAACCACTGGCCTGACTGCTGCACTGAGCGAAACCGCGAAGTATATGCGCGCTGGTGACGGTGGTCAGAGCAGGCGCCGAGGATCTGTGCCAGTACTCTGTGCCGCGCGCAAGGGGTCGGCGCTTCGGCCCGATCGCTGTCTACGCATCAACAGCCCAAAACGAGTATACCGCACGCCTTTCCGCGTCCTGCCGGGCCTTGTACCTGCCGGAGGATGTGCTACGCGTTTCCGACGCATGCGGCCCTCATCATACGGTTTGACCTGGCTCGTGCCGGTCGAACAGCTGGTGCCACCTCGTGCCACGTTCTCGCGCGTCCTCCACGTCCTCGCCACAACCTCCGCGACTTCGCCGAAGCACCGTCATATACCTCTGCATTGCATACCCATCACGACTTTCCTTTGCTCACCTACCATAGACCTGACTCTGTACTTCTGGGTCTCACGCTCGTTCTCCTTCGTGCTTGAATAGAGGGTCGGCAAAATGGCCGTAGTTCGGTATGCCTGCGACGCTCGTATTGTGGACTCAGATTGGGCTGAAGCCCTGAACGTACAGGCTGATCGTTTGCGTGTCGGGCGTATACGCCATGTTCCTTGTAAGGTCAACTTGAAGTGTACACCTCGAGCTATACGCTTACACTTCGCCATAGCTATGGGCTATAGCTCAAGAACGCCGTACGTGCGCCACATCTCCGGCATGTTCTCGTACTGACCCGACTTCTTCATATCCCATCATCCCTCTACTTCCTACTCGGCGACTCTACGCGCGCATCATCACGGACAGTCTCCGTCCCCTTCGCCTCGCGCACCGGCGGCCCGCCCGCACGCTTCAACTCGCCGCAAGTCCTCAGTGCGCTCCAAGCGCTCCTCAGCATGCTCGCCGCGCTCCTCTACCTCTTCGTCCGCGCGCCTTCAAGCCAATCCCGCGCTATAACCCTCGGCCTCGCTCCCCCACCCACACCCCTCACAAATGGCGCATCCCACACCGGCTCGCACCACGGCCACAAAACCCACTCTCACTCTCAACAACCCATCAACCCCGCCGACGTACCAAAGCACGCCAAATCTCTACTACTCAAATTCGCGCAATGCGCCTTGTCTATATCGGCTGCTGCGCCATTCGGCTTCGCGGCGCTCCAACACGTCTCGTACCCCGCGATGGTCCTCGCCAAATCATGCAAGCTCGTCCCAGTTCTACTCATGAACGTCCTGCTCTACCGCCGGCGCTTCGCGCTCCACAAATACGCCGTCGTCTTCCTCGTCACGGCGGGCATATCGATGTTCATGTTTGCAAGCCCCGACAAGAAGCACGGCAAGGGCTCTAGTTCAAAAGGAGACGAGGGCAAGCAGCCGTGGATCGGGATGCTGTACTTATTGGCGAATCTGCTGTTGGACGGGATGACGAATAGCACGCAGGACGAGGTGTTCGCGCGCGCGCCGTGGAAGGTTAGCGGGCAACATATGATGTTGTATATCAATGCCTTTTCGCTGCTTATTACGACGGGGCTGAGCGTGTTGCCGTTGCCGCATGTGCCGGTTTTGCATCCTGGTCCGCCGGGGGTGCCGGAGTTGATGGAGGCTATTGGTGCGTACTGCTCTTCTGCATCGCGTCTGGAGGATGATGCTGATGTTGGTGTGGTGTAGAGTTTGTGAGGGGACATGAAGGTGTGCTTGGGCCTCTGCTTGCGTTCGCGGCGTGTGGGGCGGTGGGACAGCTGTTCATCTTTGAGACGCTGGAACATTTCGGTAGCTTGACGCTCGTGTACGTGCTCTATCTCTTGTTCTCGTCCATGACTTCATTGCTGATATCATATGTGTAGGACGGTAACGCTCACGCGCAAACTCTTTACGATGCTGTTGAGTGTCGTCGTATACCGGCATACACTCGCCAGCGGACAGTGGGCCGGCGCAGCTGTTGTATTCGCTGGTATCGCGCTGGAAGCTTGGGTCAAGCGACGCGGTATGCTATCTCTCATTACCTCTCCAGATCAAAGGCAATGCTAACATGACGCGCAGACGTACACGCAAAACGCGTATTACAAGAGAAAGAAAAGGCGAAGCTAAAGCAGCTCTAGAATCTTGTCCTTAGATTGGACTTGGTAGACAGACGCGCGTTAGGTCTGATGTATAGAGTGAAAGAAGATTATTTCGTAGAAGTTATTTATTGCAGTACTGTATAGATTCAAAATCCACGATGGACAAGAGACGTTCGAGCGAGAGGAGGGTAGATGATGGGAGGTGGTCATAGGATCGGAGAGCAGTTGGTACGACATGAGGCGAGAGAAAGATCGTGTAGCGTGACAAGAGGCGATATCGAGGACGAGAACGAGATAGAGGCAGGATGTAGAGTCTCAGAATGAACCGATGGAACAAGGTGATCTAAGGAAAGGGCGGCGCCGCGGTTATGAGTCCATCATCATCGCGTCGTCGTCTTCTGTGCGCATCGCCGCGTCCGCATCGGGTTCGGGCGTGTGCTGGAACGAGCGCTTGAGCCTGACGGTCTGACGCTCGTTGCTGCCGTTCGTGTCAGTCCCTAGCATCATGCGCTTGTCTTCCCTACAGCGCGATTCCCACGTCAGCGCCGCGCCACAAACATCACAATACGCGTCGCGATCAAGCGACCCGATCCCGACGCGCCAATCAGCACTCACCGTATCGCATCGTCCTCGTCCTCCTCGTCCTCCCTCTTCCGCCGGCTGACCACCCTCTGCCCCTGCGCCCTCGGATTATTCTGCACGGCAATCGTCGCGCGATATATACTCTCATATTCCTTCAACTGCGTGAGGAACCCGCCATTCGGACTTATACAGTACCGCCTGTTCTGCACGAAATGCAGCGCGTCCTCCCATCCGAGCTGATGGTGCTGCATCACGAACATGATCACGAACGCCGGGCTGAGCGAGATCCCGCCGTTGCAGTGCACCAGCACGCGCCCGCCACCGGCCACCGCGTCGTTGATGAACCTCTGCGCGCCCGGGAACAGCCGGATGAGGTTCTGCTCGTCCGAGTCGGCGACGTCGAGCGTGAGGTAGGCGAAGTGGTCCGGGAAGCGCGGCTTGACGGAGAAGGCCTCCTTGGCGTCTCTGATGCAGACGATGTGCGTTATGCCGAGCTGCTGGAGGGCGTCGAGTTGTTTCGATATTACGAAGGGCCCGAGGAAGAGGCCGGGCAGGATCTCCTGGCATTTGTGCCGCATGTCGTATCTGTAGTGGTCGCGCGTTAATCTCTGCCACTATCAATGAAAGTAGGATATATATTGAACGTACTTCCATTCTACATCTGAAGGCCCCTGTATGAGCTCTTGCAGTTGCTCCGGGGTGAGGGTGGGCAGCGTGGTGGCCATGTGTGGGGGTGGCGTGGAAGACGCGGTGGTCGTGGTGGGTTCGAGAGACGCGTCGCGACGCGTTCGGTTGGACCCAGCCATCATCTCCCCGTGCCACCCGTTGACTCATCCCATCATCATCATGTCAGACGACGAGGATATTCCGTGAATGTCATGTCTGCATCCCATACGCTCTGAATATTGAATCGGGCATATAGCACGCTCATACCGGTCGAGCCAGCAGATCTGAGCAAGAAAGTCCCGCTCACGATCATCACCGGCTTTCTCGGCGCCGGCAAGTCGACCCTGCTCAAGTCGGTAAATCACCCATATCCATTCGATCGTAACTCTGAATATAATGGTGGTCATTTAATAGGTACATCTTGACTGAACGGCATGGCTACCGCATCGCCGTGATCATGAATGAGTTTGCCGACTCGGCCGTGCGCACCTCTCTCCCTCTTGCGCGTCTATCTTGACGAGCGCTTATCAGGATATCGAATGTAAGCGCTCCCTCTTCCCTTCTCACGTGGATTATATCTCATATGTACCACTCCAGCCCGCGCGATCAACGTCGGCACAGACACCCAAGAGCTCCTCGAACTCCCCAACGGCTGTCTCTGCTGCAGCATCAAAGACCAGGGTGCAGCAGCAATCGAAGACCTCATGAAACGCCGCGGCGCGTTCGACTATATCCTCCTTGAGACTACAGGACTGGCGGACCCGGGCCCGATTGCGGGCATGTTCTGGTTGAACGAGGAGTATGGGAAGGGGCAGGGTTGGGATATTGGGCTGGATGGCGTGGTTTGTGTTGTTGATGGGGTTTATGGGCTCCAGGTGCGATTATTTCTCCATCCCTGCTTGATGGGATGTGTTTGGCTGACTGTGGTGCTAGCAATTGGAGGAAGACCATAAGTCGCCGGCGCAAGAGGATGGGAGGCAGCTGGGCGAATCGATCCGCCAACTGGCCTCGGGAGACGTAGCGCTCATCAACAAAACGGATCTCGCCACGCCCGCACAACTCTCCGAGCTCGAAGCCGCACTACACGCTATCAACCCGGCGCTCGTTATACACCGCACCGTACGCGGCGAGATCGACCTGAGCAAGATCATCGGGATCAAGGCGTATGCCACGGGCCCGCCGAAGGGCGCAGAGGAGGGAGACGGGGAGGGGCACGTACACGACGAACACTGTGATCATGCACACGACAAAGCGGATCCGGGAGCGAAAACGCACTACGCCGCGCGCGGCATTTCGTCGCTCACCCTGCCTTGCCCGCCACTCACGACGGAACGTCTCTCTGCGCTCGATAAATGGCTACAAACGCTACTCTGGGAACGTACGCTGCCGCCACCTTATGCAGGCGCTGAGGTGGACGTGTTGAGAACGAAGGGTCTGATCCCGGTTGTTGGAGGAAGTAGGAGGGTGTTGCAGGGTGTGAGGGAGATGTACGAGATCGAGGAAGAAGAGGGCACGGTTGAAGAGGGGCAGAGTGAGGGGAAGCTTGTGTTTATTGGGAGGGGGTTGGGCGAGGAGATTAGGGAGAGTTTGGAGAGGGTGTTGAAGGGGTGAATGAATACGATATCGTCTCGCATGTACTATACACGTTTGCTTCTCAGAGACACCGCGCGTCGTGCTCAGATCTTAGCCACACCTCGGGCGTGCCTCGGGCATCTGACTTCCAGTGGTTGGCTTGTGGTGGGCCTCTTTCTGCTTGACAACAGAGCGTCAATCAGCTCATAACGAGCTGCTGTCTGACCTATGTAATATCCGTACACTAGGATAGAGGGACGGGCACGGCGACCGTGCGAAGAGCCTCGGGCATCGGCCTCGTGCAAGACGTGATGCAAGCGCGTCGGTGGCGAGCTGCCTCTAACCACCATCACAATTACATCCTCCTTGTCGCGCAGGATGTCCGACCTCCATTCCCCAGTGCGTAGTATGATCCCATACTACCTGGGTATTCTTTAATAGCAGTTGCTTAGATCGATAGATCAGATACGCGTTCTCCGATATCCGTACTCCCCGTAGAGCTCTTCATCCGAATCGCCGATTTCGTCGCAAGCGATGATCCCCCAACTTGGATCGTCCGCGGAGATACCGAAAGGGAACTTATCGTGACGGAGAACATATTGGGGTTCCTCGTGATTACCCATGTCTGTAGTCGCTGGCGAAGTGTTTGCCACGGCGCGCTCGAGCTGTGGGGCTCGGCGACTTCTGCTTTGGCGGAAAAGTCAACTCTACACGTCTCCATTGACCATTCGATACCGACTGTGCGCATTCTTGTACCACCAATCCTACCTGCGCTGCGCGTTTTGTCGTTCTCGACCTTATGGGACCTTCCTATGATGTCAGTACTCGACATCCTTGCGCAAACACCCCTGCTCGAACGCCTACACTTCAATGAATGTCATTGGTCTATGACACCCGATGAAGCCCGTCAAGAACGCCCGAAGCTCGTTATGTCAAGGTTGACATCCTTGACGCTTGACGATCTGTACACGCTCAGAGACGGCGCTTGGTACAACAACTGCCCCTTGGAGTACCTCTACAATCATATTGATCTTCCATCCGACACCCTCGTCACGCTCTCTCCATGCTTCAGCGATCTCGACTTCGAAGATGGCAGTGCGATTCGCCTGTTGCAAAGACTCTTTGCGCGGGTTTTGGCCGATATACGCCGCGGTCCCAGTCCGCCTCTGTGCGTCCACATCGCATGGTTGGACTCACCGAAACCCATATACCTCACTGCGCTACCGACGTTCGGCGATCTCGCTATCTTCAAATATCCTTCTCACCCGCGGCATCGCGAGTTACAACGCGCGAAGATTGGGCTGCATACGATAGGGCTTGAGGAGGTTCTCCTTGACGAAAGCATTGTCAATACGTTGAAAGGCGTCGAGATGCTATCTATACCGACCGATCGCATCACGCGCATCTCTGGCAACTACCTCTTCCTAGAAGAAGCGCTGTTCAGTGTCTTCTCTGACATCCGAATCTTGCGTATATCGCAGACTACGAAGAACAACAGCACGGACACTTGGCTGTTCTTACACGAGCTCGCAGAGTTCGTGAGGAGCGACACTCTAAAGTATCCGCGCTTGGAGGAGATATGGATCTCGCCTATCGTCTCTGTTGCGGTTGACGCACATGTCGTGCGGAAGGTTGCGGGGATTGTTGCGCAGCGGGATAAGCATCCGGATAACAGGATACATACGGTGAGGTTGGGCATACCGAGGCCTTCAGGAGATAGTGAGGAGGGCGTTTCGGCTGCTGAGCTTGAGAGCTTGGTTCCGAATGTTGAATGGGCAGCCTGAGGGCTGTTTCATAGAACGTACGATTGACGTTGCGTGTCTATCATAGACGATGTACTCCCTCTGATCAATCATGAAACATAATCAAAACGCGTCGCTCGTTGGTGAACTACCTGCATATCGTGCAAACAGACTGAAACCAATCGGAGGGAATTTCTCTCAATCACGATGATGTGTTGTCAAAGACGAGCCACCGGAGTAAGGCCGTGCCTCAGTACTAGCGTGGCAGGCGCGAACCGTCACGCGTTACCACTCGCGTCGCCGGATCACATCGCGAAACACCCGCCGGACCCTTCAAACGACGCCCATGGGCTGTGGTTATGCACCTTCCTACTCTTCAGAGACTGAAACCCACCCCGGGGCCCCACAGCAGCGCTGAACGTCTTGCACAGACTCAGTTGAGGTTCTCTGCGCTCACGCGCGCAGTGTGGGAAGATCGCGACGCGTCAAGCACTGGCGTGCTTCCATCGCTTCTCCGTTGTCGAGTCTCGACGGTACCAGGTTTCGAGAGAACGATCCGCCTCGATGAGGTTCATACTTTACGCTGGGCGCCCTCACACGCATCTGGCCATATCAGCATTTCACTCCCGCTGCCGCCCACGTCGCCGGCGGACCATTCGTCCACCGTGCTTCTCCCGTGTTTCAGCACCGACAAACTGGGATAGAAGCTGCAACCCGGAGTGCGTGGAGTTCGCGAAGGCAGATTGTAGTGAGAGAATGATAGGATGAGTGAGTTATGATGGTGGTATTGAGGATACGACGGTACAAACAACAACATTAGTATGGAGACCAATAAACTACACTTAAACAGCAATTGCATCTTTCTTGGAAGAATCGCCTGGCGAATCGTTCAACCCACGGCTCTTCGCGTCTATGGATGATCCCTCTAGGTCGCGCTCTACTTCCGTCTCCTGCGTGATCTCGACTGTGATCGCCGTGAGTGCGTGATTCTGCGAGCGAAGTGGGGGAGCATAGCGTTGGCGTAGACGCTCGCCGAACGACATGGTGACGCTGTCGTGGTGCCCGCCGGATGACCACGGCATGCTCGTACTGAGTAACTCCCTGAACCTGTAGAAGGATGAGCGATGGCATCAACACTTCACGTATAACGCACCTTGTTTGCAGGATGATCAAAACGAATGTGAGACCCTAAACGCCATGTCAAACAGTCCGCGGGTAAGATGGAAGGGTATTGGCTCACTATGAGCGGCATTATTACATCCACGGCGGCGAATTGGCCGTCTGAGCCTGAGAGGAAGGAAACGAGAAGTCCGAGATAGCCGGCTGTGTACAACGCGGCAGTGTCGACGATGGCGACGAGGACAGGCATAACTGCCCCCGTCCGACGCATTGGTCGTGTCTTGCGGAAGATCTCCCATGCCATAGCACCTATAGAGTGTGTTCAGAGATGAGCTCGGCAAAATGTGTTACGGTCATACCGGATGCGAGAACGTTGATGTACATGGTGGCACTGAAGTAGAGCACGATCCAGGTGCGATACTGCCCCGTGAAGACGCTCGTGGCACCGGGATCGGAGTGTGTGAAGTTATACAGAATGGCGCTTGCAGAACCTGAGCCACTGTCAGCATGGCTTCCTTATCCGAGAGAAGTACGTACAGAGATACAATATTGATCCTAGTATCATTGGTAATACAAACAGTACTTTTCGACTGAAGACGACGTAGCATCTCCATATCTAGACCGGAAACTCAACACCTTCCTTACAGGTTGACTATAGAGCCACGCACCAAAATGCAATCGCCGAGTACGGTTTGCCCCATCCACAACACAGTCTTTGCGAGGAAAGATCCATTCGTCACACTATGAAAGTATGCTTCTGGATCTTTCGCACCGGTCAGACCCTCGAAGGCACGTACGACGTCGATGACGAGATGCTATATCGCGAGTTGAGTACCGCTAGCCCACCTAGCGGTGTCTTATTGGACACTCACCGCGGTCGAGAACACCATCATAGCGGATGCGACCCAGACTATGAGATCGTGGCCGGACCGTGGTCTCTCTCGTTTGTCTTGTGCAATGACGACGAGCAAAAGGATGTACAAGCTTAAGAACATGCCTGCATATGGTCAGGGCCTGCAATCGCTTTGGAAGACTCATCGTACTCACCATATACAAGGGCCTCCAAGAACAAAGCCAAGACCTCCGCTTTGGCGATGGAGATACCCATATTGACAATCGGGTAAAGGAGTGAGGGGCGAAGGAGGGATGAGCGAGACCAAGCACCAGTCGGGTACAGAAGCTCCGTGAGCGCGTGCTATAAGTTTGAGCCGACGTGAGTGTCTTCACTCTAGTGTACGGTGCATATGTCCGATTACAGCCTTCCCATGCCGTGGCGATCAGCAACTGTATCTTCTGCCGGCAGGGCCGGGGGCCTACTCCACAACTAGGTGCTTTCTCGAGCTGAGGAGACAACTTAAACAATCAAATCAGCTTCGTCGGATCCGTTTACCGTGCAGAACGCGAACTGGCGCTTGATGTCCATACGCACGCAGCCCGCTTTCCACGTCAGGCGGACCCGCGTGCTCATCATGGGTATCGGCTCGAGAAGCACGAAGATCAGGTAGTAGGGTCGTTTGAGAGATGGAGAGAATGATCATCAAGTGTGTAGGCATCGAGAAGATCCAGTTGAAAGCGTACGTGGTATTATGTCGGAGCACCTATGCGGGGGCCTCGCCGTCGCATACGGCGTCAATACCTCTCCGCTTGTGATGTCCCTGTTCGAGGCGACAGTATCGTCTGCTACTGTCATGTGCAGAAAAGCACGTATGAGACGAGCTCGTGTGTGCGCAACTACCAGTACCCTCTTCTGCCTGTCAAACTTCAGGCACAAGGACGTCGGAGGCAGAGAAGGCGACGTCTGGGAAACGCGGCAAACTTGCTGACCAATGCTCCCGCGACAATCGACGAGTCGCCCAACAAGTCAAACGACTGGCACTCTACACTATAAGTACGCATAGCGTCCGTACACCCTTTTGTACATCTCCGATAGGTCCGGCTCTCGGTCGGTATCATAGAGCCTCACTATTGCTCAATCCGAGGCCAATCACCTTCCGTGAGACTAGTTGAACAACGTGCTTAGCCCCTCCGAGTCTGGGCTGACGCCGACAGTCATGCCGCTCGTCGCGCAAAGAGAGGATCTTCACACGTCGATGTGCACCGAGGAGTAGCGTAGCAGAAGAATGCGTGGTAGTACAATGAAACCCGAAATCCGTACAATTTCTACAAAACGTTACAATAACCCCTCCCTTTTCCAAAACGTCAGGTAGCGCTCGATGTCCCCCTCGGCTAGAGGCTTCAGCGTAGCCAGCGTTTGTGAGGCTGCCTCACTCTCTTTGGTAATATAGTGAGCATGGTTGGGCCCGTTCGTGTCAAAGGCCTCGAAGAATGGGGCTAAGTTGAATACGCGATCAGTCTCCTTGCCAGACGTCGCGCGCACGCGGTATCGTTCGAGCCATTCATCCCACGAGACGGTCGGCAAGGCGAGATGCGTCGAAATGGCAGTTATGACCTTGAACCACGGTACAGGCCGGGGAGTGATGAGATGCAACACAGCCGTAGGCGAAGAGCTACGAGTGAAATCAAGCAAGGCGGAGGCTGCTTGATCCATGGGTAACCAAGCCACGTCCTGGATGATGATCAGCGCGCGGCCATGAATATCAGACGAAAGTGACGCACGTCGTCCCGCGTAGGGATGACCCCCAACTTCGTGCTCGCAGAGACGAGCGCAGGGAACCACTCTTTCGAGTTCCATGCACCAGCCCGCAAATCGCCGCTGAGCTGTCCAGAGCGTGCTACCAGACCATTCAAGCCAAGTCTGGAGCGCGCATACAAGACAAGGTGTTCCGCAACCCATTTGCTTTCGCCGTATCCACCCCCAGCGGCTGACAGCGGATCGTCAAGAGCGGCTTCTGGAACTGGATCCGTAGATGTGCGACCTACAATGCATCAGCGGAGTTGTACAATCAAGCGACAGACAGAGCGTACCTTGCACAGCACCGATGGAACTTACAAAGGCGAAGTGGGGCCCGGTGGTTCGAGGCGAAGTAAGAGCGAGTTCCATCATGTTACAAAGGCCTTTGATCAAAGGCTTGAAGGACGCGAGCGCTAAGTTGAAATCAACTCGCCAAGCTACAAGACACACGTCAGATGAGCATTACTTCACAGGACAAGGATGACCGCACCGTTGTGTATGATAGAAGTCGCACTGTCGCGGATCTCCTCGTATTTCTCGGCGCTTAACCCTAGCCTGTCACGAGGATAGTCCGCCATTACGAAGTCGACCTTGGCGCTATCCAAGAGTGAGGGGTCGATCCCAACAGAGAGGAACATGTCCCGCTGGCGGTCGACAATAGTAGCACCAGAGGCACTTGAGTGTCGATTCAGGGCGTATACCTTGCGAACCCGGGGATCACGGATGGTTTGTTCCAGAAGGAAGCTGCCCAGGTAACCGGACGTCCCGGTGATAACGATGACCTCTTCGTTCGGCGCATCGCCAGAAGCATGGGCGAATACGGTCTTCTGGATGCCAGAGAAGCGCTCGGTCAAGAGGTGGGTGAATTGTTCGAGAACCTGCTCCATCTCCATGACCTTGAGTGGTCGTTCGGAGGCGCGCTTATGCCCCGATGTGTCGCCCGTGATAGTCCATTGATGCACGAACGACGTGAGCGCGGTCACAGAGGGATGATCGTAGATGAAGTTGATAGGGAGGGAGTGTACGGGATGCTTGACGGTCTCTCGGAGGGCGTGCATGATAGCGTTGCGAATCATCGTTGCCTGCAAGCTTCATAGGGATAGTTAGTTATGTACGATCGGGGATAGCGTACATGCGCGAACCTGTCGCATCCGTGTTGGAATAGATCATCGTCGTCCTCTACAGCATCTCGCATCACCCGACTCACGGCCTTCTGGATGAAAGTGCGTGTCGCTTGCTCCGTCCACTCTGAAGGAGACTCGATGTCCGTCTGCGACGCGTTCTTGACCTTCTCGTAGAGCTCCTCGATTTCGCGTGTGTATGCGGTCAAAGTGACCTGCCGCCGAGGAGTGCCCTTCGCCGTGAGTTCGACAGGCTTCCTAGGAGATGTGACTAGGACCATCTCCTTGAAGATTTTCGAATGCGCTGGTGCATGTTCGTTTGCCTTGTCGATCGTGCTCCTATTCTTAGCTTGAGCTTCGCGCTGCACTCTAATGGTGAAGACACGGCCTACCAGACAAGGTTACGGTACTTGATGAGCTCGCTCTCGTTGTCGGGATCAAGAGGAGTCGAAGGTTGGAGGAGAACGCCGTTCTGGAAGCGTCCTCGGCCGAACATGATGGCGACGGCTATATTGGGGTCAGTGCGCATGATCGCTTCAAGCGGCACCGGGTTCGTCTATCATTGGCCGTTGAGTGGAAATTCGCACCACGCAGTGGATGATGTAGATACCTTCTCTCCCGTCGACAGGACTATCTGATCGTCGGCTCGACCAAATACCTTCCATAGCTCAGGCCGCGTCGGGTGCTGTTCCAGTAGATCCTTCGTCTCGCAGGCCGGTTTGCCGTCTATGGACGCGTCAAGTACACATGGATGATGCGTCTCGCATTGCTATGGGACGGTTAGATCCAGCGCGTTGATTGGGGAGAAAGAGACGCACCACGAAAAACAGCTCAGACAACCGCCCTTCATAGGGCACATACGAAGGTTGTGTGTGCGGGCTAAGTTTGAAATACTCCCAGTCTTGCGGCGCAATGTCGGCGGGGAAAACCATCGTCGTGTATCCAACCTCAGTCCTAGACATGCGTTCAGAGAGCGAGCTAGTATGAGTTGGCACGGTGACTTACATGCCATATCCCGGCGTGAGGCGGACGCCTGCCTTCGAAAGTTGGTCACCGACCGCTTTGTTCAGAGGCGCACCGCCGAAGCACTGCAAGCACGATCATCAATATGTACGCCCATGGTGTACCTGCCTTCAGTCACTCACGATCAACTTCAAGCGCTGGAGAGCTGGAAGATTCTCGGGTTCGCGCGCCCATTCCTGTCGTATCATGAGCACTTGACTTGTATCAGCGCCGAGAACTCAGATGAGCTTACCTCGATGAAAGCGGGTACCGTGACTGCAATGTCACTTTGAGTGATGTTAACGTCCTCGAGGAAGACACCCGATGTTGGGAACACGGGAGGCGACGCGGGCCGGAAGAGCGCCAAGATGACGCCGGTGCATGGCTAGGGAAAGAAGAGCATCAGACATCGCATCCAAGTTGAGCGCCTCTAAGAAACTGTATTACCGCCCAGGCGACGCTGCTGACGGCCATGATATCTATGTGCATGCTATCAGCGGGCGCTACGTAAACGGCTCTGATCACGCACGGAACATAGGAAGAGAATGCATCGCCAGACGGAAACCACACCAGTCTATCTCGCCGAAGCCTACATTGGCCGTAAGTAAGGATCAATAGTGACGTAATTCACACTCACAGGGCAACATCCCATACTCTAAGAACTGCTTCGTGTTGCTGTAGATGGGTTTCGGGAAGGCAGTGGAGCCTGGACAATGATTGAGTTGGTTTGTCAGTCGATTTACCCAGTGACGCACCCGATGAGTGAAGGATGAGAACGGGGTCATCAGTACTTGGTCGACGTAGGCGCCTTTCGTCCAATACCGATTCCGAGTCCTTGAAGTAGATTTCGTCGAATCGCGGGATGGGAAGTGTGGTGAGGTCCAGGCCTTCTTGCTTCAGCGTTTCCGAGGCTTCACTCGCGAGGTGTCGCATAGCATGATCTGGGCTAACGAAGAGCTGGAAGGCGCCAGTAGCACGGACAAGGTGAGCAACTGCGGCTGCTGAGTTGCGCGTCGAGATACAGAAGACAGTGTGTCCACAACGCATGATTGCGAGCATTGTCGCGGCGTAGGTGATGCTGTCTGAGGGGTATATGTCAGCCGACAGTCAAGTCATTCGCCACTGAAACCTCACCTGCCACGGCGAGAATCCCGAACGTCATCCTGTCGCTCCCCGTCTCGCCTCGCTTAGACCTGAGCGCATCTGCATGATCAAGAACAATGCCGGCTGCACGGTCTATGGCCAGCGCCGCATCGCGATAGCAAATCGTCTGCTGGGCTTTGTCGGCGTCGGCGTATACATATAGCGGGCGCTCGGGGGTGTGTCGGGCTTGGTGAAGATAGAGCTCCGGTATGGTCAGAGATCCATCCAGCGGCGGGCGCACGAAGGATGGGTCGTCGGCGCCTTGAAGGGTGGGGACCGGGTAGGGAAGCGTCATAGCGAGCAGGAGAGTAGTGTGCAGGCAAGCGATGGGTAAGAGGTAGTCCTGCTTCTCAGGACTATATACAAGCGGCACAATGCTGTAACCGGGGGCCGCAGTCTTTACCGCATAAGGGGGTAAGAAGAACGGTAGCGCCAAACGCTGAGTTTATGAGCGGGTGTACTTGCCGACGCATGGCGTATCGGCTTTCTGGATTGGGTACTCGGTGTACTTCGCAGAGATGATCTCGAAGCGAAGATGATAGGCGGTTATCAGGACCTCGATTGAAACGCAGAAGCCCGTCACGAGTACGAGGTCCCGTCAGCTACGCGTGTGGCCCAACGTCCTCCATCCGGGTGGCAGACTTCGTGAATATGACACGTTGGTAACGAGTTGAGCTTGAGCACGGTTGCCTATGGGGCATCATGTTCCACCTCTGATGGACAAAGTATGATAGAAGATACAGAGTACGAGGCAAGCTCGGCTGGAAGCAAAGATGGTGGCGGTTACCAAAGCGTACCCATGCGACAGCGCCACGATGGCGGCGGCGCGGCGTCGACCTCGTGGCAGAGGCTTCGCGCACCGTGGTAAGCAAACACTTCTAAATCGAACCACGACCATCCATCTGAACATCCGAAGGCTGAAGCTGCTAACAGTTTCTGTTACAGTAGCTGCGTATGTGCGATTTGCAAAGATGGGGCTTCGAGCAGAGGACGTGGTCGTTCGAACCTCGAGCGCACACTTGATAGCTTGGTGATAATTGGCCGAGGCGCTTACCACTACATAGTGGGATCATTTCCGAAGACCCGCCCCGACCTGATACTGAACTTGACACTTGAAGACCATTGTGGCTATGTACTTGCGGATATAAGACGGAGTATGCGCGATACGGACTTGCGCCAGTAGCTCAGGTGCGGGAAGTTCAGTCTTCTTCCCCTTGATTTACCTTCAATGTCATTCTGATTTTACCTGCCCACAGAGTACATAGTACGTATACGCTTTCTTTGCGGAATGTCAAGCCATGACCAGGCAGCTCAGATCGCGACGACCAAGCGTCGGCCGTGTCGGGCCAATCGTCTCCCGTCAAATCATCAAACCCTGGCTGCGACGAAAGCCTCCCGTCGGGCGTTATCGATGCACCGTTCGACGGACCCTGGTATCGGTCCAGCCGAGGTAGGACGCATGAGCACCAAGGCATGTTGGGATTTGCTCAAAGATGGGCACGGAAGCAACAGAGATCCTCAAATGAATGTGATATTGATCCGTGTCCATAATAAATATAATCTAACATGGTACTGGTAGGTATAATATAATCCGATCTAGACATCTATGCTAATAAATCCATGGTCTCAAGCTCTGTTAGCGAAGAGCGCCATGCCTGCGCTATTGAATTGGCCTGCTCTCAGGCTCAGCTTATCGATCGTTGAAGCAGCCTGACGATCTACACGTACCGACGGGGTGTCCCAACGCTTCCACTGGTGTCTTCCAGTCCACCGTCTGTACAACGGACGCCTTGCCCGGTCCATCGAGACGCAGTGCCGCCACAGAGGTAGCGTTCTGTAGGAGGACGTACAAGAACCTTGGCCAATGTTAGCCAATAGGTTTTGGCGTTCGAAGCTAAATCTCCTCTCACTGAGTATTCCCGACGGCAGCAACGACCGACTCGTCCGCTCCGGCGAACGTCCCGACGTCATATTGCTGTCGAAACATATGTCAATTGTTCAAGTGAGACGGCGGCCATGGGAACTTACTTTAACAAGAGTGGGCGTGAGGTCCTTCCCAACAGTCACTTCGTTGATGAAATCGGTGGCGATGTCAGACAGGTAGTAGTTTCCAGTCTTCGACGAGTATGAGGACCAGCAGTTCGCTACAGCGCCGGGAATCTGGAGCTCGCGGACGACAGCATTGTTCCAACCCTTTGAATAGTCGTAGACGCTCGCGCCCGTCGCGAGGTCAGCGCCGAGGAACGCCTTCGCATTCGGTACAGCGGTGAGCGAGAAGGCAATGCCGGCCGGGGGCGGGATGTTGACAATCGTGGGCTTATTGCTCACGATACCGGGTGCAGTGACCGGGAAGACAGTGAGGAAGCCGGGGAATTGGTCAAGCTCGCCGATGACGCCCTTCGTGGTGACGACAATGGACTTCTCGTCGGGTGTGAACTGAATGGTACCCGCTGAGCCAGAAGGTCCTTGAGGAGGGTTGCTGGTTTGGTTGTAGAGTTTGAAAGGTACACTCGACGAGGCCGTGAGACCACCGTTGTTCACGTGGAAGCATCTATGCCAGCGTGAGCCCGTGGGCTTGATGGCGGCTATCATGCAACTCACTGAATACGAGAGTTGACTCCACCATTCATCACGCAAAGAGCATCACCAGCATTGTTGAACACTGAGGGGTTTGAGAGAGGCACTTCCAAGCAAAGGAACATTGTATCTCACCTGCTGAGGTCGGGAAGTCGCCATCTGTGGACGCCGGCTTGCCGATTGCTCGCGGGGCCGCATTAGCAGAAAGTTGGAAGAGCGATACAGTGTCGGATCCGGGCTACACTATGGTCAGCAAAACGTCCTTAATCGCAGACGAAGTTGCACGCACGTTGACCACAGCGAGCCGACCCGTCTTCTCGTGGACCACAATTGGCCCTTGCGAGAAGATAGAGTCGACGCCGATCGAGTTACCATGTTCTCCGAGCCCACCAGTTGCGAGAGCACTGATCTTACCCTGTTGACCTCGTTCAGTTGCGGGTTGTCACTAGCAAGCAAACACATACGACGGTGCCATTGCTAGTTATGGGAGCCGTGACCAGGACATTCCCAGACGGGTCATTGGTCATCCCTGAAGATCACCCGCGTGTGAGTGAATGCCGGAGACACAGGCCGCGAGCACGTACAGTATAACGATCCAGCAGTCGTCGTTTGAGGTGGTGCAGCAATGGCTATAGCCACAATGGAAAGTATGGTGAGTAAGATGGGAAGCATCGTGCAATGAAAGGAAAGGTTGCAGAAAGTGGGCAGCGACGCAGAAAGGACAAACGGGCGGTTCAACCCCGACGAGGAAGATGGACGAGGAAGCCCAGAAGAACCAAAGTTGGGTGGAGATGATGGGAGTATAGTGTTGTGTTTATATACCCATTGTAAGGTTGTACAACCCGTACTGAGCGCGTATACCTTCGGCGTCAGTTCGGACAGTTTGATCAACATGGACCTATCATCGGTCGGGGGCGGCGACGTGCAGGGTTACCGGGAGATGTACACCCGTACTGTCACGAGACATGTGCGGAAGACGGTCTCAGACAGTCTGCCAATACGGGGTGATATTGATGCGGAGCCGTTTCAGGGCAGGAGCAATGTTGGTTCGAAAGCCGCATGTGATGATGCTCAGTAGAGTATACCAGATCTAGAGCAGTATAATTAGGGCAATAGAGTTAAGCGCCCGCACAGCACATCAGCTACAATGAATGGCGCCTACAAGGGCACATCAGTCGGCGTCGGACAGCGCGGAAGACGTGGCTTTACCATGGATGGCGTTTGCTTCGGGTTGCCTTCGGGCGTGGTGACACGTGCGGTTCACTACACTCATCCTTCATTCTATAGTTTCTAAGCACAGGGTCGATAGCATAAGGCTGTAGACTGTCGTTCTAGGTTCAGGGATATCTTTGATATCTCCCAGTAAGCATCAGACAGGTTTGGAGGCGAAGAAATAAGGTTGGGGATATGGCCGGTCAACGAAATGATCAATACTGGTGAAGTACGACCCGAATATTGTTCGTGTAGGGACTCGCATAGACTCATGTGTCACCTACGCGCGAGGGCGTCTACTGGGTCGCTGATGACTGCCGAGGGCGGAACAAGGGTTTCATTGAAACGACGGGACGAGCGTTACGAGACGTAGAAAGCGCCGAGCGTCAAGGGCATCTTGCCATGGGCACCTTTTGCATGGGTACCAGGGCGATGTTCGGAGGTTTGGTTGCCTGAAGTCCACACAGCTATACGGCAGGGGCGGCAGATGAGAGCTGTCTAATTCAAGAGATGGGAAGCACATCAGCGTTGAGTCGAAGCTTCGCTGGTCGCAGCAAGCCGCGCGCCGCAATTTTCCGAGAAGACGCGTGTACGCTCGTGGACGCAGCAAGTTTTGGGGCGAACAGTGACGCAACTGTCAAGAGTAGCTCTGAGGGTCTTTGATAATGTTCAGGAGCGTGAATTTGCTAGGCAGATGATAGTGTAGAGTAGTATAACATAAGTAGTACTGCTACGGTCATCGAACAATTAGGGTGAAGGCTCCTAGAATCGCTGTTGTCGCAATGACCGCTACGTTAAGCGCCATCACCAGCTTCTGCATATCAACCTTCGCCGTCGCGTCCTCGACTTCAACAGGTAAGGAGAGAGCAGGCCGAGCAGCCGGTTGGTGGTGAGCTGCCTGAGCAGCAGCGCCAAGGGCAACCAACTGTGCGATGAGAGCGTCCTGCTCTGAGAGCTTCCCCTCGAGGCGTTCGACGGCAGTCTCGACCGTTGCCCGATGTTCACGCTCCAACTCCTCGACCTTCCGCTCGAATGTTTGCGCCAGCCGTTTTCGCTTCCACGGCTCTACGAAGATGATGGCGGTGATGAAGACCAGTACGTTGATACCGATGGCCGCAAGGGATCCATACGAAGAGACGCTTCGGATCTTGTCTGACCACACTTGCTCTTCGTGGTAACGGTCGAGGATGGCTCGCATGAAGAGCGAGAACTCGCGTTCAACGGCTTCTTCGGCGGCCTCAGCCGCCGCTTTCGCCCGCGCCTCTTCCTGCTCGGTCGAGTGGTCCACGCGCACGAGCTCAGTGAAGCGCCCAACATCCGCCTCAGACCAAGTTGACTTGCGCTGGAGTAGATCGTTCACCTCCTTCTGCGAGGAGGAACGGCGGCGCACGGCGGCTTCGAAAGCCTCCTTCGCCTCTCTCGCAGCAGTTCTTGTCGCGGCCATTCGAGCCTCTAAGCTGGCGTTATTCAGATGAATGCAAAGTAGTTCAAGTAACATCCACATACCTTGCTCCGTGACTCGCTTCTTGAGAGCGTCGATCTCATTATAGCCCGTAGCTCTATTGATCTCCCCTCCAGCCTTGCGAAGATTCACGGCTAGGCGAGCCAAAGTATCATCTGTCTTAACTCGGGCCTTGATGGCTGCCTGGGTGGACCATTCTTGCGCCCGGGCACGCAAACGAGACAGCAGCTCCTCGGAAGATGCCGAGGTATCGGGTGAAGGCGTCTCGCTGGTCTGGCGAATAGAAGATTCGTCACCAGACTTTGGGTGCAGTTCCGACGACGAAAGTGTGCTTTCTGGATCCGGTGCAGGAGTAGACGGGGAAAGAGAAGATGTTGACTGTGAGGTCTCTGGCTGGGAAGTACGAGTAGCGTTATCGGGTGATGGACGTTCAGTCGAGTAAACCCGCTGCAGCGGAGGTGGCCTTGGCGGGATACGACGCAAGTTAGCTGGTGGACATGGTGTTCGTGGAAGTAAAGGCCGTGGAAGAGCACGTCGAAGCATGCTCCGTCGTGGCAGGTGGCGAGCTGTGGCAGGTTCATCTCGACGCGAGACGCGCCGGCCGGCTTGTCTCCGACGGCCATCATCGGCACGACCAGATTGAACTCGCCTCGTTGACCTGCCTGAGAATGAGCCGTAGAGTTTATACTACTTCTGTATGATCGACGGTAGCTGAAATTCACACTTGAACTGCAGTGCATCACAACATGGCCGGCTTACGATCTCACTTCTCAGTGGAGTCATCTTCAAAGAAGTTGTATGCCTGGCATCGGCTAATTCTAGGACTGGCATTGACGTTTATATACGTCGTGCGGCGAGATATTGCGCCTATCTCGAGTACGTTTACGTGCAAGAGCGAGGTGTAACGCACTCGAGTCATTGGCCTTGAGAATCCAAGGCGGTTGACACGCTGAGGTCGATGCATTATAAGGCGGGTACCCCGTGAGCGTTCTACAACATCTCTCATCTTCAGCACTCCTGTACGACATGAGCGACGAGAAATACACCAAGGACGCTTTGTCTTCTCTGGCTAGCACTGTCGTCGACAAGGCTCCTTACTTTGGATCTCTTCCACTTCATATCGACTCCTTCAAGCTCTTCTTCGATGACAAGAACGGAGAGGGCCGGTATGTGGAAGTTCTATCATCTTGACAGTCTCTGATATTAGATATCTAGCTCTATTCACACAGCGACCGCGACACATGACCAGCTGAACGCTCTCGCGGCGGCGTGCTCTGTAGCGCCGTTTGGACGTGGTGCCGAGGCGGTAGTGGACGACACTTACCGCAGGGCGGGGAAGCTCGACTTACCAAACTTCGCCACCCCGTTCGACCCGGCGGCCACATCACTCGTTGCTGGCATCAAGGAGTCCGTCCTCGAAGGCAAGGCATCCAACCGTCCCATCCGGTTCGAGCTGTACAAGTTGAACGTCTATGGTACTCCACACAAGTCTCTAGAATTTACATCATGCTAATGAGATGGCGCAGGTGAGGGCGGGTTCTTCAAGACACATAAGGATACGCCACGCGGCTCAAAGATGTTCGGCTCGCTCGTCCTCGTCTATCCGACTGCTCATACTGGCGGCGCTCTCGTCTTCCGTCATCAAGACCGCGAATGGACGTTCGATTCCGCTTCCGCTGTCACTCGAGACGGCGCTCCTGCCTTCGGTTACGCCGCATTCTACAGCGATGTCGAGCACGAAGTCCTTCCCGTTACGTCCGGCTATCGCGTTACGATCACATACAATTTGTACTTCGACGATGTCGACGACGACTCACAATCCGGCATCGCGAGCGCTGACTCCCTCGATAACTCCGCTTTTCGCACTCAGTTGGCCACCTTGCTCGACGATGCCAAGTTCTTGCCCAAGGGAGGATATCTTGGCTTCGGGCTTCGTCACTCGTACCCCATCGAGTTTGCCGAGGGACTCTGGCCGAAGAGGAATGGCGTGCAGCATCTACTTGATGTTCTCAGAGGCGCAGATGCCAGTGTTCTTCGCGCCGCCCGTGCGGCAGGGCTCTCCACTCAGATCCATGTTGCATACGATACTCAGGTCGAGGGCCGGTCCAAAATGCACGACGTCACCGTCCTGACGACTGAGGTCGTTGGTGGCGAATTGACGTATTCCGACTTCTGTTACTTCCTCGAGAAACGCTTCCACGGCGTCCCATTGTACCCACCGGGCCACAAGAAGTGCGGAGTTGGGCGTGCGGTGCATTGGGTCACACCACACATGGGCGGTTCGCGGTTCAAGTCGGTGTATCTGGCCTATGGCAACGAGCCATCTCTGCAGTATGAGTACGCCGAGCTGTGCCTCCTTGTCGCCGTGGGGCCTCATGGTGAGAGGACGATGAAGGGTAATCTCGAGCAGGTCAAGGGAGAAAGCAACGGATGGTCCAGTGATGAGGACGATTTTGACGAGCGGGTTGTGTACGAGGATAGTGAAGAGGACGAGGGCGATGGCGAAGAATAGGCAGATCTAATCCACTCATAGATATCTTGACATATCATGTACCACTAGCCAACGCACTGATGATAGAAGTATCAATACTGCTCCTACGCTGTATCGGATACGCTAGTTACCTCCGTCCGAGTTTGTGAGAAATATGCGTTAGTCGCGGGTGCGCGCCACCATGAGACGCGCGTTGACAGACTTGCCTCCGACAACCATCTTCCGCGCGCCAAATCTAGTCCATCAACCCGCGCTTCTAACTTTCGAATCCGATCATGAGGCCTGTTGTCTGTAGGCACGAACGAGACCGGCTCAAAACCATGCGGGTAGGGAGTGGCCCCGCCGCGATCGGCCCTCTTCCCTATAGAGTCATCTTGTGGTAGTACTCAGGGTCCGCCAACATTTCACGCAGCCATGAGTCTTCTGCACGCGGCGAGATAGCGCGTCTAGCGCGAGGTTCGTTACGTGCAGCGATGACCTGTGGCACACCCGAGTCAATCATCTGGTCAACGCGCATCCGTCCCAACGCAACTGCAGGCCGAAGTCGTGGCATTATACGGCAGATAACCCACAACTCGCGCACAACTTCATCCCCAACCTGCACCATTTCCATCGAGCGGCATGAACAACGACCCGGAACAGTATACCAAGGACGCCCTGTCTTCTCTGGCCAGCACTGTGACGGACAAAGCTCCTTACTTTGGCTCCCTCCCGCTCCATGTAGATACATTCAAGATCTACTTTGACGACAAGAATGGCCAAGCGCAGTACGTTTGGGCCTTTAACTCCCCTGAACCTTGTTGATGTCGTCGTCAGGGCTGTCAATACTGCGAATGCGACAATAGAGCAGCTGAATGCACTCGCCGCAGCATGCTCCATCGCGCCATTTGGTCGTGGCGCAGAGGCCGTCGTGGACGACAGTTACCGCAAGGCTGGCAAGCTTGATTTACCGCACTTTGCTATTCCGTTCGAACCCGAGGCTACCGCTCTGGTGGCCGGCATCAAGGACTCTGTACTCGAGGGCAAGGCAGCCAAGCGCCCGGTTCGCTTCGAGTTGTATAAGCTGAACGTTTACGGTGCGCTCATTATCGCTTTGGCACTGTACGATACTGATGTCATGCATACAGGTGAGGGTGGTTTCTTCAAATCGCACAAAGATACGCCCCGCGGGGCTGCCATGTTCGGTTCGCTCGTTCTGGTCTATCCCACTACACATACCGGCGGAGCTCTCGTCTTCCGCCACCACGGCCACGAGTGGGTCTTTGATTCCGCTGCTGCTGTTCATCAGGACGGCGCGCCAGCTTTCGGCTATGCTGCCTTCTACAGCGACGTCGAACACGAGGTTCTTCCTGTCACATCCGGGTACCGCGTCACAGTCACCTACAACCTGTACTTCGACGATGCCGAAGACGGTGCGGAGGCCGCTGTGGCCCCTCCACCGGCTACCGCCACGGCTTTTGCAACACACCTTCAGGGCCTCCTGGATGATCCCCAATTCTTGCCTGAGGGCGGCTACCTTGGATTCGGCCTCCGTCACTCGTACCCCATTCAATTCACGGAGGACATGTCTCCCATGAGGAGAGGTGTTCAGCATCTGCTGGACGTACTTAAGGGTGCTGATGCCATCGTATTGCGGGCTGCCCGTGAAGCTGGTCTCCCCGCGCAGCTCCACATCGCATATGACACCAAGATATACGTTGGCGGGTACAGGGGTGACCGGGAGATTACCGCTCTCACGACGCAAGTGATGGGCGGCGACTACACCGAGTACCAGCTCTGGCAACACCTCAGAGCGGCCTACGGCGCTGCTTTCCTCTGGCCGAAGGGCCATAAGAAGTATCAGGCAGAGCGCGAGGTGCACTGGGTCACCCCGCGTACAGGCGGGTCGCAATTCACGAGTGTCATGCTCACCTACGGCAATGATCCCTCTCTCGATTATCACTATGCGGAGCTTTGTCTATTGCTTGCTGTTGGACCCGCCGGTGACAGGACAGGCAAGGAGAATCTTACAGTGGCTAGGGGTGATGGTGAGGCGTTCGTCGATAGGATGTGTGAATGTACTGACACTTGTCCCAGAATATCATGACTGGGACGATCGTGACTATCGGTCGGACCCCGATGACTATGCTTGGCCCGCCGAGGATAAGAAGGAAGAGAAGAATGGGGCAAAGAACGATGATGGATCTGATTCGGACCCCTTCGCGTAGGAAACCCATCTGAACCTATTACTTCCCACGTTGTTCGTACGCGATACACTCAACATGTTGAGTACAAGCCATAAGCTGTCGGCGTTATCACAACGAGCGCACATCACGTCTGAATAGAGCTTTGGGCGACGTGTCCGGGTGCATTGGCCCGAAAGCCGAGCGATGCTTTGAGGTTCGGCCCTGCTTCGACCACCTTGCATGGGCGCGCGAAAGGTGCTTCGCAGATGAGCGTCAGACGTTGCGGATTGAGATTCGGAACAGTAAATTGTCGCAGTATCGATTCAAGGTCCTTGGAAGTCCGCGAAGGAAGGCAATGGTCCCCAAACTCTACCGGCAGGACGGAGATGTGGGTAACGCGTCAAGGTGTGCAGCCGGGCAGGTCGGTGATGGTGTGGCTTTGTCTACGAAGTCGGGATGCATGACTTCATCCTCGCCCCTGTCACTAATAATGTCATGAACATTCACGAGGCGCATATAATCGGCCAGATAAATTACGACCTCAGCCAGTACTCGAAGTTGGGATGCAGATTTGGGACGGGATCTGGCATGAGATCCGACGGTGCAAGCTGAACACGGAGCAGCTCCAGCCCCTTCAAAGCGCAGCACAGCCGGCTGTGTGAGCTTCAGCCTGTATCAGCTGCTACCGACGGCTGAAGTCGGGAGAAGAACTACCACGGAGGGGACTTGGCCGGGGAAGTGTACACACTTCGTGAAGGCAGCAACATCAGCAGCGGGAAGCAGCGCCGTGCAAGTCAAGACGGCTTATCCCTTCGGCCACACAGCTACGGTTCTCTCAAGGGGGATACGATTTCGGTCAGAGCGATGCATGTTTGTGGTACACGATGACCCGATTCCGAGGCGAGGAACGATGGTGGAACCGCGCAAAACCGGAGAACCGATCGCGAGGCGCCGAGAGCGCTAATTCCCACGTGGCGGCGATCAAAATACCTGGCCTCACGTCGCACGAGTGCTCAAAAGACACGTCTCCTGCGGCTCTGCTCTGTCCTTCATCTTACCCCGCCTGGAGGCCGCTCCCCTCCTTATTTCTTGCCCGGCATGGCCATCGCCTCAACTTCGGACGTTATCGTGCTTTCGGTCGGCTTCGTTCTTGCTGCAGTATACCTCTTCCGCGAACAGATCTTCGATTCCGGCAAATCAAAGAGCTCAGTACCCATAGCATCCAAGAGTGCGGCAAATGGCTCCGGAAACCCTCGGGACTTCGTGGCGAAGATGAAAGCTGGTGTAAGTGTTGATTTCTTGTATTTGTTGCAGTCAAATGGCTAGTTATCGTGCGGAAACGCGACATGGGTCGATTCCGCGCGCCGGGTACCCCGACAGTCTTTCGGTGGCGCCGGGCGCGAATCGGCACGGATGGAACAAGTTGGACGTGGACCCGGTACTTAGACAATGCTCATTGCCTTTGGCCGGTACCAAACGGCATGACACGCCGCTACCCGCGGATCCGAGTACTCCTCCGTCGGGACTGCGTTGTGGCGTCTACCGACGTCAACTCGGTTCTGTAGCTGTACGCTTCCATTCATCCGAACGATCCCCCGAGAGGACGGATGATTGGCGTTGTGCCATGTTGCTTCGACGCCTGCTGTTTGATGAGATCATACTAATACCCGATTTAGAACAAGCGCCTGGTCATCTTCTATGGATCGCAAACGGGTACTGCCGAGGAGTACGCCATCAGGATAGCGAAAGAGGCCAAGTCTAAGTTCGGTCTCGCATCACTCGTCTGCGATCCTGAGGAATACGACTTCGAGAATCTCGACACGTTGCCGGAAAACTGCGCCGCGATCTTCGTCATGGCCACATATGGCGAAGGCGAGCCGACGGATAACGCTGTACAGCTCATGCAAAACCTCTCCGACGAATCCTTCGAGTTTTCCAATGGCGAGCACAAACTCGAGGGCCTCAAATACGTTATCTTCGGTCTCGGCAACCGCACTTATGAGCACTTTAACCTCGTGGCGAAGCAGGTCGATCAGTACCTCTCCGAGATGGGCGCTACGCGTATTGGAGAACGTGGCGTTGGTGATGACGACAAGAGCATGGAGGAGGACTACTTGGAGTGGAAGGATGGCATGTGGGAAGACTTCGCTCGTGTCATGGGCGTTGAGGAGGGCACTGGCGCCGATGCTCCCGACTTCGCCGTCACCGAGCTCACTGAGTCCGTCCCCGAGAAGGTGTACCAGGGTGAGCAACACCTCCCTTGAATTCGTGATCATCGCACTGACAACGTTTGCAGGCGAGCTCTCCGCCCGTGCTCTTACCAGGTCAAAGGGCATCCACGACGCAAAGAACCCGTATCCCGCCCCGATCGCCGTTGCTCGCGAACTCTTCCAGAAGACAGGCGACCGCAACTGCGTACATGTCGAGCTCAACATCGAGGGATCAGGTCTCACCTATCAGCATGGTGACCACGTCGGCGTTTGGCCATCGAACCCAGAACTTGAGGTTACTCGCTTGTTGTGCGCTCTCGGCTTGGAAGACAAGGCGGACACTGTCATCGGCATCGAGTCCCTCGACCCTGCTCTCGCCAAGGTCCCCTTCCCCGTCCCGACTACATATAGCACTGTCCTTCGCCATTACATCGACATCAGTGCCGTCGCCGGTCGTCAAGTTCTTGGCGCCATCTCCAAGTACGCGCCGACGCCTGAGGCAGCGGAGTTCTTGCGCCAGCTCAACACGAGCAAGGACGAGTTCCATTCCGTCGTCACGGATGGCTGCCTGAAGCTCGGCGAGCTCTTGCAGCTAGCCGCCGGTAACGACATCACGGCCGAGCCCACCACGGAGAACACGACAACCTGGGCGATCCCCTTCGACATGATTGTCTCTGCGATCCCGCGCTTACAGCCCCGCTACTACTCAATCTCTTCCTCGCCCAAAATGCACCCGACTACGATCCACATCACCTGCGTCGTCCTCAAGTACCAGTCCGTTGGCGCGCGTGTACCTGAGCGCCACATCTTCGGTGTCGGCTCCAACTACTTGCTCAACCTCAAGTACGCGGCATCCGGCGAGGAGGCACCATTACTCAGCACCGACGGCGCACCCGCACGGACTGCTGTCCCGAAGTACCGTATTGAGGGTCCTCGCGGCGCGCACCGTGAGGGTTCGATCTACAAGGTCCCGGTGCACGTCCGCCGCTCAACCTTCCGCTTGCCTACCAACCCGAAGAGCCCAATCATCATGATTGGCCCCGGCACCGTGAGTTGTCTATGCTCATACCCAGTTCATGACCGATACTGAATGTCCTGTAGGGTGTGGCGCCTTTCCGCGGCTTCGTTCAGGAGCGTGTTGCCCTTGCTCGCCGGTCAATCGAGAAGAACGGCCCCGACGCATTGGCAGATTGGGGACAGATCTCGCTCTTCTACGGCTGCCGACGGGATGACGAAGACTACCTGTACAAGGACGAGTGGCCCGAGTACGAGCGCGAGCTCAACGGCAAGTTCAAGATGCACGTCTCGCTTTCTCGGCAGAATTACCGCCCAGATGGCACGAAGATCTACGTGCAGGATCTATTGTGGGACGACCGTGCACATGTCGCCGACGCCATTCTTAACGGCAAGGGCTACATCTACATCTGCGGTGACGCCAAGAGCATGTCCAAGGCTGTCGAGGACACCCTTGCGCGCATCTTCGGCGAGGCCAAGGGCGGATCGGCGGAGGTTGAGGGCGCTGCGGAGTTGAAGTTGCTCAAGGAGCGCTCGCGCCTTATGCTCGACGTCTGGAGTTGAGCGATTCGTATCAGCGATTCGTAGATGCTTTGTATTGCTTTGTACTTGGTGGCTTGGGGATGGGGTTGTTCCATACATGTTTTCGATTACCCATAGTATTTGTCCGTGTTCATCATACCTTATTGCCTCACCCTGTTGCACTCATTCGATCAATAGAGGATTTCTTTCACTCACTCGTACTTACGATGCGGGATCAGACACGCGCTGCTTGGGAGGCATGATTGCTACCAGAATTGCCTTTGCTAACGGCTATCTATTCACCATGGGATATATAGAGCGCACTATACCCCTTCTCAGCATCAGGTACTGGTCAATGTATCCAAAGCGGTATCTGATTCCCAGGCTATACATCGTACACAACCATTCATACAACATATCAGGTTCAAACTTGTTCACAGGCGCAGCCAGTCTACCCTATCCGAAGTGTCCATGCGCGGACTGCTTAGATCGAATATCCACATGCAAAATACAGCACAGAAATGACCAACGCCACGAGCGCGAAACGCTGCACACCGTTCTTCCGCTCTTCCCTCCTTGGCCCATCATCAAGTCGCCCCGTGAACCAATCGAAGCGCTTGCCGAGGTGCAAGAATTCGCCCCTCTGGATGATCCCCACCGTACGTCCGGCCTCGCTGAACATGCGGAGAACGGAGCTCTCTGCGGCAGCGACGGCCCAGCGCAAACCCTTGACGCTCGTGTTGATGCCTGTGTATCGCTCGACGTCACGCCACAGATGACGATACAGGTCATGCACGATGTTGGCGATGGATGTAGCGAGCGCAAGGTAGATGCCGAGTCGTAGAAGCGGATAGTCTTCCGCAGTGATGGGCGGTAGCGCGCCAAAGATAATGGCGCACGCAGCGAGCACGAACAACTCGGCGCTGTTTGGCGTGAAGTCGCGGTAAGCATGCTCGGGATACATCGCAATGAGCTGCCCGTCCCCGACGCTCCACCCGTAGAACCTCCAGTACGAACGCGCGCCGTTGGACCACCAGGGATGAGTCGCGCGGACTTGCGGAGCGGGCATGAATCCAAGCTTGTCCTCGTTCATCAGCGCGGCGCGCTTCCGGCGACAATAGTCGATGTCTTCGCCTCCGCCTGTCTTCGGGAATGAGAGGTCGTATTGGACGCCGTCCTGTACATCTCGGCGAGCAATGAGAGATGCTGTAACTCCCCACGGGACGTCAGTCTTCTTGCCCCAATCCTCCCACTTCGCGGCAATGTCCCAGAAGAACAGTACGCCGGCAAGATGCACCGCGGCGGTGAAGACGGTCTCTGCACGCGGGAAGCGCACGTTGCCGACGAAGCCGGCGGCATTGGGATGGGCGCGAATGACACGCTCGGCCTCAATAAGGATGTTCTCGTCGGGCTTCACATCGTCGTCGAGGAAGAAAGCCCACTCGGCGGAGGATTCGCTCAGACCACGGTTGCGGGAGGCGGAGGCACCTTCGTTCTGCTTGTTCACGCGTATGCGCACATCGGGTCGTGCACCATAGCGACGCTCGAGTTCTGCGATGGAGGGGGAAGCAGGATCGTCCACGATGATGATGAACATGACCGTGCACGAAGGGGAGGGGTGCAGGTCGAGTATGCGCGCCAGCAGGTCGATCTGAACACGATACGACGGTACGATGACATCGATCGTGAGCTTGCGCTGTACTCGAGGAGCTTCGACGGATAGTAGCCACGCTTCTACGCGTGCTGTAGCATTGGTGAGCGTCTCGAAGGTCCAGTCTTTGGCCGACTGCTTCTCGTAGCGCGCGTCTCCTCCACCGCCAACGATGTTGCACAGCCGCGAAGTCATCATACGAGAACAACCCCAGCGGCGGTAGAGCTGATACAAGAATGGGTCGCCATCTTGGTTGATGAATATGGGCGGCACGACAATGCCGTCGAAGATGCGCATATGCAGGGAGGAGACTATGGGGAAGGTCGGCATCCCCGGAAAGCTCGTGTCGGTGAAGGCCACGCATCCGAACCCCAGTGGTACACCGTGCTCGCGGCTCAACGCGAGGAACTCGGCATGCGCTTGACGCATCCAGCCCTCATCCTGCACCTCTACATCATCGCCCATAAGAACGAGATAGTCGCACTCCGCCATCGCGTGCCGCGCAAGGAGGCGCCAAAGCTCGCAGACGTGGCCGTGTTGCACCACGGGTGCGGGGTCCAGTGTGCTCGCGCAAAGGATTCCTTCAGAGCGTAGTACTGCTTCGGCCCTATTGAAGCCGAATGCATCGCGTTCAAGCAGGAAATCGTCATCGTGATCAATGGCAAGGTAGACGTGATATCTGAAGCGTGTACCCCCCAGCCCGTAGACATCCTGATGAGTGGTGCGTACGAGAGCCTTCGCGAATGCGCACAGATGTGTCAAGCAGGCTCTAGGGTCTGCGGAGCCGCGAGAGGTGATGGGGAGAAGGATGCCGTAGGTGATGCAGTTGGCATGTAGACGCACAACGCGGCTCGTCTGGCAATCCTGAAGATAGGCTTCTCGAGCGTCGTCGCTCATTCCGCGAATGGACTTGTTCATGGCAGCGCGCATCCACTCCGCTGTCTCCCGCATGCCCTGCTCGAGCGTGACAGTAGGTTGCCAACCGCCTAGAACGGCCTTTGCGAGGGTATTGTCCGAGTTCCGCGAAGCTACGCCTATAGGCCTCCCGGCCTGGAAGTGGAATTCAACATCGCTGTCCTCGACGCCAGCAGAGCGGAGAGCGATCGTAGCAAGCTCCTTCATAGACAGCGAATGGTCAGTGCCGATGTTGATTGGTGAGGAGTGATCGGACGGCAGAAGCAGGAATATTGCATCGACGCAATCCGCGATGTAGATGAAACTACGACGCTGAGTTCCGTCCCCCCAGATCTCAAAGCGGGCTGAAGCACCGAGATGTATGGCGAGGGCCTTGCGCAGCATGGCCGCGGGGGCCTTCTCGCGACCGTCGTCGAACGAACCTCCGGGGCCGTAGACATTGTGGAACCGGGCGATGCGGATGCCCATACCGGAAGCAGCCGCGGCTCCGGCTAGTTGCATGAGATGCTCGCCATGTAACTTCTCAAGACCATAGAGACCCTGAGGGCTGGGGAGTGATGGGGGATACGCGTCTTCCTCTTTGAGCGATACGTCTCGTCCGTGCTGCAGTTTGTCGGGGTACACGCAGGCCGAAGAAGCGTAGAAGAACCGCTTAACGCCAGCCGCGCAACATGCACTGAACAGATTGCGAGTCATAGTAGTATTCTCTTCGAAGATAATCATATCGTTGTCGTCATTTATGACGCCCATCCCTCCCATGTTGGCAGCAAGGTGAAAGACGGTATCTGCGCCTTGAACGACACGCTCACAGACAGCGCGGGAACAGAGGTTTCCGTTTGATCCAGAGACAAGCTCCGGTTGATTGGGACTGTCGTCGAACAAGCCTGCAGCGCACTTGATGTCGACGATGCGTACACGCTTGCCTTCAGCCAGAAGACGGCGCGCAACATGCGAACCCTGACCAACATGGATTGTGCATGTCAGAATCATGATTGCCAGATTCGGCGATACATCGCTACGCACAATGAAACCAAGGCCGCCGCAGACGACGAACAGCCTGTCTGCCATGTTAAGAGTAAGGCGGAGGGCTTGGTGGGTACGTAGAACTTCCGTAGTTCATGTTATAAACGCGAAACCCATATACAGGGTAGGGCCGATAACGCGAATAAGAAGCTGTAGGACTTCTCGAGGAGCTCCAGACAGAGCACGTCCCTCAGCACTCGATGTCAGAGGAGTCGTCACTCATACCTAGGCTATTCCTGCGATGGACTAGGTCAGTGAGTAGAAGACCTTTTGAAGCAATGTACAAGGACCCGCCTATTCAGTCCGCGGTCGAGACAGCTAGCGTCCTACACCATGTGGCTGATGTGGGAGGGAAGAGCTTGTAGACCTTCTGTCACGCGCAGTCCGTGTAACCCCACCAGCGTTAAGATACCGGCCACGGGCATGTATAAGGGTTTACTTACTGACATTGAGCCCAGCGTCGCCACACATACTGCTCGGTGACAAGATCCATCGCCTCATATAGTAGGTTTCTCGCTTAGAGGATTGTATATTCCTTGCGAAGCTGAATATGTGTCAGTCAATGGCGACACACGCCGAGAAGGAAGATAAGGCGTGCCGCTTCACCGCTAGCCAGGACTGGTTCAGCCATAACGCGCCTGCCTGGAGAGAGCTCTTCCCTCTTGTCACCGCCCGCGATCAGGCGCCTCGTGCGCTTGAGATTGGTTCGTGGGAAGGACGTTCCGCCGTATTCCTCCTCGAAGAGTTATGCGGAACTCACGGGACGCTCGTGTGCATCGACCACTTCGATCTCTTTCGTACGCAGGCCGGAAAGGCGCGCTTCGAGACCGTGCAGCACAACCTGCGAGTGGCTAACGCCGCCAATCGAGCGCGGGTCATCGCAGACTTTAGCGTCCCTGCATTGATGCAGGTCTTGCGCGAGGAGATCGCCCTCGACGAGAGCGGAGAGGGAGAGGCGGGGTTCGATTTCGTGTACATTGACGGCTCCCACGAGGCCGATGATACGTTACTCGATGGAGAGCTGGCATGGCGGCTTGCGAGGAAGGGCGCCGTCGTGATCTTTGACGACTACGGTTGGGAGACCGAGCCGGCGGACAGCCGCCACCATCCGCGGCGCGGCGTCGACGTGTTCATGCAGCTCCATGTGGGAGAGTTCGAGCGGCTTTCCGAGGAGGGAAAGTACCAGATGGTCTTGCGTAAGACGAGCGATATGCGCATAGGGTTCTTAGTGGCAGGTAGCGGTGAGCGACAGGTAGAGTACGGCATCAACATCGCGTACGCGATCGACGCAGCATACGCGATGCCGCTGGCCGTGTCACTTCGTAGCCTCCTTGAACACACTCCCGGGCGCATCAGCGCCTATATTCTTGTCCACGGGGTGTCGAACGACGAGCGCAAGAGGATTCACGATTCGTTGCCGACGCGCGACGACTTCACTCTGCAGTTCATCGAACTCGGCGAGAATACACTCGCAGTCAAGTCCGGCATCTGCTGGGCGAAGGTGCGTCTTGGGGTTATTCGCAGAGTTCGAGGGCTGATGATATTGCGCAGATCGATATGCTCGAGCTGCTACCAGTTGAGCGCGTGTTGTATCTTGACGCTGACACGCTGGTACGCAAGAGTGTGCGCCCGCTTTGGGATCTCGACCTCCAGGACCATCCGTTAGGCGCTGTCCAAGACGTTGGTTATCCGCTCGGTCCCACGAGCACCCTCGATACACCGTCCGACCCGTACTTCAACGCGGGCATCCTCCTTCTCGAGCTTTCGAAGATCAGGTCTGGATTGGTCGACCTTAAAGCTATCGCTCTGAAGAACTTGTCGAGTCAGTGTGCTGACCAGGACGCACTGAACGCCCATTTCTCACAGCGTTGGTTGTCCATGCCGTTGGAATGGAATGCGCAGGGCCTAGGCACATATGCCAAGATGCGGTCTCCGGAGCGCGCTGGTCTCGACGTTGAGAGCATGACAAACAACGCCGCCATCGTTCATTTCACCGGCCCGGTGCATCCCACCATGAACGCCGTGCTCAATGACTGGGGCCAACCCTACACGGCGAAGCCATGGGGTTACGCAGGCGCGCCCGGCCATCCATACGCAGAGGAATGGCGGCGCACTCTTGAAGGTACGGTTTGGGGCGACTGGCGCACGAGCGCCGAGTATGAGGTGCAGCGGGATGAGAGCAAGTCTCGGGCAATGGAGGTCGGTATCAAGGAGTACGGAAGAAGGGTGCTGGTAGGCGGGTCAATTCCCGAGTCGCTATAAGCACTGTCAACTACAGAGTACTGCTTGGGACAGATTAAATTCGAGTCGAAAGAAGTTTCGGGCATCGGACGTACGCCCTGTACTCCGGAGTAGACTGTTGGTCCCGAAATATTGCATTTCTGTTGCGCGATGCCGATAGCACTCCGTCACACGAGTGCGACCCTCTCTCGAGTAATATCTCCAATATTGGCAAGGATGCCTTCGTGCACATTCGTCGCGGTCGTTCACCAAACCAGAGAACAGATTTCGTCAGCAGGATCAACAGGATCAACGTGACATCACGCGAGTGACAGGGCGCGTCTGGTCACACACTTTGTGCTTGGCCGCGGCGTATACTGGCGTATACGCATGAGCTTAGGCTTCCGCTCTATTTCAACAGCACTGATCGTGGTTGAAGACTGTATCACATTACGCTAGAGAAGGAGAACATCCCCAGTAGCAAATGTTCATTCGTGTAGCAGCTAGGTTGGCAACTGGGGTGGACTACACGACTCAAGGCGGCCCACGAACACCATACGATACACAACTTTGGAACCTACTTACCTCACAGTCGACATCAAGACCAATACGGGCGTGAGCCGACTACGTATCTCTTAGGGACAGAAAGTGATCGTGTAGCCCTGTTTTGCAGTAAGTCGCTAATTCAGGTAGAGAGTGTGACGAGAGCTCACAGCTGCATCAGATCCCGGGCAGGTAAAGGTGGCGCTGGCATCGTCATAAGCGTAGACATACGCGTCAGGGCACTGGCCCTCTGAACCGGCATTATGAGCTGCATTCAACGTGATGACATGAAGTATGCGTACTGAAGTAGTCGTAGTACGGTACACCACTGGAGGGGCACGTAGCCGGAGTCGAGTGCGGGGGCGTGCAGCACGCCGCCGAATCGTGAGTAACTTGGCAGTCGCTGTTGCATCCGACGATGGCGCCGGAGGCATCCTTCACTTGCAAGATGGCCGGACCTATGTACGCATCGTGTAAGCGTTAAACATATGTCGCCTTTTGAGGATGGTGCTTACAGTCGGGGTTCAGGTTCGCCGAGCAAGTGGTGGTACCGCACCCCGAAGATGACGGAGTAATCTCGAGAGGGACGTTAAACCCATCAACGATGGAGACATCGTAGAAGCTATCAGGCTATTAGCCTGCATACCATGAGAGAGCTATCCACACCACTCACTCAGTACTGGACGAGCTCAGAGTGAACTCGGCCAAGGTGGCGGGAGGAACGCCAGAACCAGTGACCGGAGTGCACTCGAGGCCACGATTGCAACCGCCGGTCGCACAGCTCGTCGGACCTGGGGGAGAAGTTAGGATATGACCTATTAAGCAAAACATAGCGAAGCTTACCAGGGTTTGTCGCAAAGTCACACTCGGTACGAGGCCAAATGCGGCCCGCGGTCCAGTTGTCAGGGACCGTGAAGGTAGTAGTCGCTCCAGATGCCATTTCCCAGCCAGTGGGCTGCGATGGGACCGCGCCTCCAGGCTGCGTGAAGAGACCCGGCCTGTGTATAGGTCAACGGCATACCGCTGTCACAAGGGGTTGGCGACTGACCAGATGGTGTAAGAGCACTGGTTCTTGACCGTGAAGGTGCGATCGGCAGAGACCGCAGTGGCCAGAACGACGAAGGATGCAAGGGCGGCGATGGACTTCATATCGAGTGACTTGGAGTATAAGGCGAAGGAGCTGATGAGTACAAGGTAAACCTGGAAGGCTGAGGAATAGCGATATGTCGCCTTGTCCTTATATACTGGAATGGACTGGGCCAAGTCAGTGCCCGCAGGAGGAGCTTTCCGAGCGGTGTGTTCAACTTGACCAACGTACAGGACAAGTACCATGCCGGTTATGGTAGTTAATGCGCGATACTATGTACGGGAGCCACGTGTGTCTCGAAGCGCTCGTAGAAGTCGAGCATCGAGTGTCAGGTCGGCGCCTTCGCCCGGCAAGAGTAGTCGCCCCACCAAGCCCAACGGCAATCCGATGCCGTGCGTCGCGCTCCATTGTTAGAGGGAGGTCATCTACAAGAACTCTCGTATAGAGTAGAAGCATGGCTGTGTTGCAGCGAAGATGCGGTGTATCTACGAAGATGTATATGTGTTAATCCCCGTCTCGAACGCAAGTTACAAGTTTACTAACCATGCTTGAGTAGCTGAGAGCCTCATGAGATCGTCGGGTGTGCATTGCAGCACGCGGAGTGATTGGTGCACTAGAGAGTTGAAAGCGCACGAGTACATGCACAAATATACATGGTACAAAAAGAGTGTCGCGCTACCTGGTTCAATAGCATCCATCACATCTCCCTTAGCATCAAAGTTGTTCAAGAGATGATGAACATGCACGGGGTCGCTGTCCGACCATCGACACCTCAATATTCAATGCGCACCGTAATCATGTCCGCAACCCAGTTGGCGTCAAGGGCGCTAAGAGAATCAGGCAAAGGTTGACGGGCAGAATTGAGTTGGCATGAAACGAGGACCGCGAAGTTCGAATCCGAGTGTGTCGACCATCCGCATCTTCGCTAGCGGAACACTCGCAAGAGTCAGAACACCATGAGGAAGCTCCCTCTTCGTAATCGGACAAGAGCCGTGGGCTGACGAGAAGGCAGTCGCGGGGGCTACCACCAGACTTCGGAACTGTGAGCAGTCAGAATCTGCACTTGTGTAGAGCCAGTAGTACGCACAAGCTCCGCTCCAATCCCGTCCACGACTTCTTAGCTCATAGAACGCAAACCGACCAAGTTTCATCTTCCATCAATCAAACGAGAGAGGCTTCACGAGTTCATCGTATCGCCTGGGCTCATAACAGAAGCACCATATTTCCTGGCTTCTATAGCACTGACATAGAGTGGCGACCCAGTGCTGTTATCGATAGCACTGCTGGTGGTAGTAGGAATCAAAGGCACCGCACGCGCACTGTGACACGGCGGCGCGGGCAGGTGACCGTGATCCGATCATCGTTCGGAACCAAAGCAAACCGGAGTCGCTATCGGACTCTGTCTCTTCCCTGTCTATGCTGTATCATATCCGTTTGCAAACAAGTTGATTACATAGGCCGGTAGCGACTGTTGAATCAGAAGCAGTTCTGCAGGATTTCGGACATGTAGGCCGAAGGCACGTCCGCCGCATTGGGCAGCTCACATTCTAAACCCAACGTCCCGCGTGAAGTTGCTTCTCACCATGATCTCAGCATATCTTATATACCCGTGCTTCGCTACATGCGCAATGCCACTGCCCAACTTGTCGCACTTCAGATGACATGAACCTCGAGCTCGGGCGCCCAAATTCCATATGAAGCGCGGCATATTCGACTGAAGGACTCGAGCCTCGACGATCGCTCAACGACCGTGTATTATTGTCGTTCAGCGCCCTCGTTTTCTTACCATAATCACTCGAACGGCTTACTGATTGGCGGCATCCTCATCTCTTAGCGACTCAAACGCTCAAATATGGCCGAAATTGCGACTTGTGTAATAAGTAACTGCCACTAGAGTTCTACGCGAGTGCAATTAATCCCAACCGGCCCATCGACGCCACCACCACACTCTGCCAGGACGATTGAGACATCATTGCGCGCATGATTGTAGACTTCCTCTTACCGGCGGTAGACTCGCAGCAGACAGGTATGAGGCTGGATTCGCCTTCACTGTTCGCTCATCAGTACCTTAGCTCAAGTGTTCAAGGGGAGAAGGCCTGCTTACCACGCGGAGATCTGGTCGCAGAATGATGCGGTGGGTGTATCAGGCGGCACGCCCGTGATCCCGCAGATGTTGGTCCAGACGTAGGAGTTGCTGCTGAAGGGTGCGAGGGATCTGCAGCAGAGCCCGGTTGGTTGAGAAGTCGTGCATTGTGCCGCAGCGATGGCGACGAGAGCTAGGAGGGTGGTAGAGATGGAGTTGAACATGGCCAGTTGGAAGTTCGAGGAGCCCTGCCGCTTGGACAAGTACTGCAAGCCGGGTTAATGTACGGGGAATGGGCGCTCGCGGATGTTGAGTGGCGAGTGTCAGGTTGGCGCCTGTCAACGGCATGACCTTCCGCTCCATTCAAGTGAACGGCCGTTCTGACCCGTTTTGTGCTGCTCTTCGCCTCTTCAAGACGCAGTGAGAAGAGTTCGACGCGATGTAATAGAAGCGCTGTGTTACAGCGAATGCGCGGCCTCGCCGTGTATACGCGCGTGACCCTAAGGCGGCCCAGGGATGCCCTCGATATAGGTATGGTTCCATTCCGCCGATGCACTATCATCAAGGCTTGCAGCAGATGCGAGACCATGCTGGCACGAGACAGGGCTAGGAAGAAAGAGCCAACACAATAGACGGGAGTTTCTCGAGTTCATGTATGAAATTAGAAAGAGGTATATACACGGATAAGTTATGCTATGGACAGCATATGAAGTGCAAGGTACAACAGGAAAGCAATGCGACAATATCAGACAGACGAAACACTATGATTCTACTCCTTGAGGTAGATGCTCATGCCCGAGAGGAGAATGTAGTCGACGTTGGTGCCCTGGTTCTCAATGGGGATCGTGATGTTCAAGAGCTGCGGTGAAGAGTTAGGCGGAGATTTGACTCGGAAAGATAATTGGGACATACCTGTACCAGCTCGGCCTCGCCCGGGCCGTCGAGGCGCCAGACTCCGAAGCTAGAGTTGGCCTGGTGCATGATGTAAAGGAACTCCTGGCCGTTCACGTCCGCAACGACAGCCTCGTTGGGACCAGCACCAGCGACGTCGTATTGCCTGACGAGTGAGGGGTTGAGGTCTTCGTCGACCTTGACCTCGTTGATGTAGCTGGCAAGCAAGTCGCTGACGAAGTACGTGCCGGTCTTGGGCGCCGCGACGGACCAGCAGTTGCCGGCGTTGTTGGGGAGCGTAAGGGGCTTGATGACGGTGGTCTCAACGCCGTTGGTCATGTCGACAACGAGAGCGCCGTTGACGACGTCCGAGCCGACGTATGCCTCGCGGCCAGGGATCTGGGAGAGCGAGAAGGTCAGGCCACCGTAGGGAGGGCGGATCTCGATGGTGGTGGGAGAGTCGCCGAGGACGGCGTTGTCATCAATGTCCCAAACACGGAAGTAGCCGGGGTAGGTGTCGAAGTCGGTGCGCAGACCCTTGACGATACCGATGACGTTCTCCTGGTCAGGCGTGAACAGAACCTGGGACACAGTGCCAGGGGGACCAGTCGGGGGGTTGGCGGTCTGGTTGTAGCCGGAGATGGCGCCAGTAGAGGCCCAGGTGGCGGCACCGTCCTCGTCGACAGTGTAGCACCTATAGCATTGATGTGTCAGCGTTGGAGCAGAATGTAGTAGTATCCAAGCACGCACTGGATGCTCGAATCAACGCCACCGTTGAGCACGCAGAGCTTGTCGCCGCGAGTGTTCCAAGCGAGAGACTCGGGGAAGTCACCCTTGGACTCAATGGCATCGCCGACCGGAGTCAGCTGCGTCGGGTTCTCGGGGTCAATGTCGAAGATCTGGAAGGTGTTCGAACCGGCCTGTAGGAGAATGTGAGCATGAGCTTCCTCATTGAGAGGCATATGAGCGTACGTTGACGACAGCGAGGCGACCAGTAGCCTGGTTAACCTCAACGGGTCCCTGGGAAAAGAGCGGACCGAGGTTGATGGGCTGACCCTGGGCACCGGAGCCCTGCGCAGACACCGAGTTCAGGTTGCTCTGTGGCGCGCTATTAGAAAGTGAAGAATATTGTGCGTAGAGGTCGACGTACAAGAAGACCATCCTGGCCGATCTCGGCCGCAACAACGTAGTTGGCGTCGAGGTCGTTGGTGATCACTGATGAGAGCTTCAGCATCATCGCCACAAGAGTGCGTGCATGGAATGCTCACTGTAAACGGCGCCGAACGAGTCGGTGGAGCTGACCTTCGAAGGCAAGGCGGTAGCAGCGGTCACGAAAGCAGCGAGAACGGCGAAAGTAGAAGAAAGCTGCATCTTGGAGAACGAAAGGTAGAAAAGGTGAAGAGAAGAAAACAAAGAAATAAAGTAGCACTGAAGAGAACAAAGAAGGTTGAGAACCCGAGAAGGAGAATGGGGAACTCGAACTGGAGACGCTCGATACTTATACTGCCCGAGCAGGCTGACGAGTCCGCCACCCGGCCAGGGCACCTCACGGCAAGCGTCGACTCCCACTACGCAACCGCAGGTCATGAAGATGATCTCAACGCCCCCGATGGACCCGCTCACACGGTCGCGCAGACGCCGGTCATTATTGACACGCGATGGCGCGAGACGGGCCACTGCAAATCACGAAAAGGAGGCCGAGCGGGATTGGCGAGGTTCGTGTCGAAACTGATTGTGCGCCGTCAACTCTCGTGAGCAGCGCTCACTGCGCTTCGGGCTGCCCAGGGCGAGCACGGTGTGAATGATAATGACGGCAACCGCAGACGCGGCACCGCCGGCGGGGAACGGCGCAGCGACGCGCGAACATCGCATTTTAGACGCGAAAACATGCACATCTAGCCATTACGCCCCGTTGATTCGAGTTGCGTTACATGCTTAGCCGTAAAGCGCAGAGGGGTCCAGGATATTTGCGGAGAATGGGTGGCACAAAGATAATGTCGGGCCAGGGGAGCCAATGCTGACCGGGCGGTAATTTCTTTTGATGGTGGTGTGCGTGTCTGACGCGGAAGAGGTGACTTGTGAGTACTCGGCTTTGAACTGGTCTTCTTAAGTATGCGGGAGATAGTCTGGAGGGCTGCTACTTGTGGCCCTGCAAGTTGATAGACGTGGTGATCGACGTTACGGTCAAGGCGCTCAGACACGCGCGGTCCGCAGAGCCGTCGAATGAATCATCACATCAACTTGGTTCTTACGGTCATCTTGACTGCCAAAATTATCCTCTGGGCTTCGCCCAACATCCAGAATACCGAGCGCTCTATACATCATCTGCATCATAAGACACTCTCCGGCAGAAGCGCTACGGCATACGGTACCGAACGAAGGCTATAGAAATTTCGGTTCCGACACTACCTCTGACTCTGCAATCCCTCGTGTAGCGATAGCTTCGGGCACCCTCTGTAATCTACTCTATTCACTATCATGGCTGCACCACCTGTACCAGTACCGGATGCGGAAGACATCCGAGTCGTGACGACGATTGGCCATGTAGACCACGGCAAGACCACGCTGATGGACGCGTTGCTCGCCGCAAATAATATAATCTCTTCGCGCATGGCGGGCAAGATCCGCTACCTCGATTCGCGTGAGGACGAACAGGAGCGCGGAATAACGATGGAAAGCTCTGCTGTATCTCTACGGTTCAAAGTACTCGAAAAGAAGGAGGGCGCAGGTACGTGTACGCGCCACAGCTAAGCATGTACAAATAAACTGATCGGCACAGAAAGCCCTAGTCCGCGAACATATGTTGTGAACATGATCGATACGCCAGGTCACGTCGACTTTTCTTCCGAGGTCTCGACCGCAGCCCGACTTGTCGATGGAGCGCTGGTACTCGTCGACGCCGTCGAGGGTGTCTCTTCGCAGACGATCTCAGTGCTGCGCCAGGCTTGGGATGATCGTCTCAAGCCGATCCTTGTCATCAACAAAATCGATCGCCTCGCAACGGAGCTACGCATGAGCCCCATTGAAGCATACCAACACCTCGCACAATTGCTCGAGGCCGCCAACGCTGTCATGGGCTCGTTCTTTGCTGCAGAACGCATGGAGGATGACCTTCGCTGGCGTGAGGCGCGCGAGCAGCGCTTGGCGGAGAAGAAAGCTGCTTTGGGAGAGGCGGATGGTGCGGCCGCAGTTGAGGATGGCGCGTACGAGGAGAAGGACGACGAGGATATCTACTTCGCGCCGGAGCGCGGGAACGTCGTCTTCGCGAGTGCACTGGGCGGATGGGGCTTCCGTGTTAGCCGCTTCGCGCAGCTTTTCGCCGCTCGTTTAGGAATGAAGGAAGCAAACCTTCGACGCGTGTTATGGGGTGACTTCTACCTCGACCCGAAGACAAAACGCGTGATCGGATACAAGCATCTCAAGGGACGGACGCTCAAGCCACTGTTCGTGCAGTTCGTGTTGGAGAATATTTGGGCGATATATGACGCCGTGCTATTCAATCCGTATGTAAACCTGGTAGATCATTGTACGATACAATCCGCTGATATGCGTGTAGAAACCCGGAAAAGGTCGAGAAGATTGTCAAAACACTCAACCTCAAGGTCCTCCCACGCGACCTCAAGTCTAAGGACACATCTCATGTCCTATCCACGATCTTCTCCCAGTGGCTTCCGCTCTCCTCCGCTATGATCCAGGCAATCATCGATGTCGTTCCGCCGCCTTCTACCGCGCAGCGCACGCGCATCCCGAAGATGCTATATCCAGACGCTCACGTCGTTCCCGCGCCCAAGAACAAGCTCGAAACTGATCTATACTCCTGCGACGCATCAGACAGCGCTAATATTGTGGCCTATGTCAGCAAGATGTTTGCAGTGCGCTCCGAGGATTTGCCGGAGAATAAGAAGAGGCCGCTCACGGCGGAAGAGATGCGGACGCGGGCGCGAGAGGCGAAGGAGGCGCGGGCCAAAGCCGAAGCTGCGGGGGAGAACACACCCTCCACTGAGACTTCCTTGACGCCGGCCACTACGGTAGAAGAGCCAGCACCTAAGATCGCAGACGAGAAGAAAGAGGAAGCAGAAGAAGTTCTGCTCGGGTTTGCGCGTCTATACAGCGGCACGCTCCGCGTAGGGACACGCGTTCGTGCTGTACTCCCAAAGTACGCAAACGGTTTACCGCCGGACCACCCGCGTAACGCGCCCTACGTCGTACACTTCAAGATTGAAGCGCTTTACACAATGATGGGACGTGAGCTTGTTCCCGTTCAAAGTGTCACGGCTGGGAACGTCTTCGCCATACGCGGGCTTGAGGGTCAGGTTCATAGGAGCGCCACTATCTGTGCGCCCTCATCTGCGGGTGTTTCTGTCGAAGGAAGCGAAGAAGAAGGCTGGACGCTCAACTTGGGAAGTGTGAAGCGGCAAGCACCGCCTATCGTGCGCGTTGCACTCGAGCCGGCGCTCCCTGCTGATATGCCGGCGCTTATCCGCGGGATGAAGATGTTGGCGCAGGCGGACCCTTGCGCGGAGACATTCCAGCAGGCGACGGGCGAACATGTCATCCTGACTGCAGGAGAGCTTCATCTTGAGGTGAGTCCTAGTGTCGCGCGATCCGGAATCAGTAGAGGCTGATGCATGCCCATCATAGCGGTGTCTGCGAGACTTGCGCGAGCGGTTTGCAAAGGTCGAGATCAGCGCGAGTAAACCTATCGTGCCATTCCGCGAGACAGCTGTCAAGGGCGTTGGTATGTATATCGCATATCCCGTAGACGCTATGGCCACCGGCTGACACCCTGGTAGATATGCCTCCTCCCAAAGTGGCCGGTGCGCCACGTGGCACAGCACTCGCAGGCGCTGGAAACGGAGTTGTCAGTGTGACCGTCCGCTGCGTCCCTCTCCCGCCTGCACTCGCTGAGTTCTTGCGCGACAACGCGGGCGTGGTTCGGCGACTTCTCTCATCGTCTGCTGCAGCTGCTTCGTCGACATCAACATCTACCGAGCAGATCGAGAGGGTAGCTGGCGACCTCGACGATGACGATGTCGATGTAGGCGAAGCTGAAGTGCGTAGACCGACTGTGAGGCCAGATGCATTCTGGGATGCGCTCGGGGAGGTGTGTAAGAAGGCTGGGGGCGAGTGGGCGAGTGTGGACACGAAGGTCTGGGCTGTGGCTGGCGAATGCTTCTTAGTGGACAGGCGAGAAGGCAGTGGTATCAATTCGTATGTTCGCTCATTCGCCCCTTGACCGGATGTCAATACTGATCTATATTTTAGGTTGAAAGCGAAGCTCGCGAGGGCGTCTAAACGGCCGGATGCAACGTCACCTCCCCCGGACTCCGCACAAGCCGCATCGTCTGAGTCGACCGACGATGCCTCCCATGCCTTCGATGGACAGATCGAGACGGGCTTCCAGATCGCAGCTGCTCATGGGCCTCTGTGCGCCGAGCCGATGGCCAGCTTGGCGTTTTTCGTGGAGAAGGTGGAAGTAGATGCTGCTGGACTCGAGAAGGAGAACGGTGCGAGTACCACGTCGCCTTGTTAACGCATATTCGCTGATGCATGGCGAGAATAGAGCAGAATCGCTCGAGCCAGATCGCGGGTGGTGTTATATCCGGTGTCCGTGACGCGTGCAGGAACGGGTTGCTCGATTGGAGTCCGCGGCTGATGCTCGCCATGTACGAGTGCGATATCCAAGCGAGCAGTAAGCATCCCTCAAATCGTTGTATCATAGAGCGTCGCTGATAGAGTCACACAGCGGACGTCCTCGGTAAGGTGTATGCGGTCGTGGCGCGTCGACGCGGGAGGATAGTCGCCGAGGAGATGAAGGAGGGCACCGCTTTGTTCACCGTGAGAGCGCTTCTGCCCGTCGTGGAGAGCTTCGGCTTTGCAGATGGTGCGTATATCTCGCGTTGCCGGAAATGTCCTATCATGACGCCCCGCTGCAGATATCAGGAAGAGGACATCTGGCGCGGCCTCGCCTCAGCTTGTCTTCGCGGGATACGAGATGTTGGACCAGGTACGTTCGGCTATCCAGCGCAGCCTTTCGGGGTGGCATCTTCTGGAGAATCTTCCGTCACTGACTTATCATTCCAGGATCCGTTCTGGGTCCCCTCTACTGAGGAGGAACTGGAAGATCTCGGTGAACATGCCGAGCGGGCGAACATCGCGCGGGTGTATATGGACGGCGTACGAGATCGGAAGGGGATGTTCGTGCATAGGAAGATCGTTGAGCGGGGGGAGGGACAGCGCACATTGAAGCGGTAGACCATCGCATGCTGCGAACGCGTGAGACACTATTATATATGTTGTACCCTCATCCGAGTCTCGTGTCGTTGGAGGTGTGCAGGTGTGGAGAGCAAGCCGAAGGCCAGCGCCGGTGGGCCGGCCCGAATCGCCGCTCAATAAATCAAATATATAAGCGATGTACTGTCGCACACCAGTTCATTGCTCGCGCGCCTTCTCGCTAGGTGGTGGGCTCAAGTGCAGCATCGAGTGAAAGAGTCAACGAAACGGTCTCCGTGACGAGACACGGCGTCTGCCAACTTTGACTATGTGGCCCGTAACGAAGATGAAAGGTGTTGGGACATCTTTCGGCTAGTCGCTGGTGTCGACTATGCTTCTAGGCTGCGTCGAGCAGACGCCTATTCCGAGAGCTGGTGCCCATCAGTGCACCGGGGATACCGGAACTCAAATCCGTACGGCTCTTCTTCTCTCTCGAAAGCGGATAGCGTTGCGACGGCACTCGACGCTCGTAACGCACAGATCTCACCCTTTCGCCAGCAAAACACTCGGAGAACATCGAACTGGACGCAGCGTCCTTCGTCAGTCGGGATGCGATTGCGAACTGAAAGGTGTCTTTGGATTCAGAGGAATGCCGAGTCGACTCGGAGTTGTACCCTACCGTGAGCACTGTCACTACACCCCTCTGACATCTTCCCAGAAACCGTATAACAGCACCGACGTCAACCCGCTCCGACCGTGGCACAATCCAGCCGTCCAACCCATCCAATGATCAGTCCCAGTCCAACTCTACACCTTACTTCGAACCATTGATCAGGTCCGCGGTCCGCGGTCCACGACACCATCTATCATTCATTGTATGTATGGGGTTTGCGGGTTTGATCAGGATATGGGCGCGATCCCGCCCAAGGCGTCTATCTGGAGGGAGAGCGGTCTGGAGTGTTGGAGGGCGACGAGGGCGAAAGGTGCGGGGGCGGATGAGGACGAGGACGATATTATAAGCATGTATGTACGAGTACACAGCCGGATAGTCCATCTATAGCAGGGTTACCAGGGACGAGTACACCCAAAGTAGTAGTACTATATCAACATATCAACAAAATAGATGCGTAAGGCGTAAAGACGCGCGATGGTAGCCACAAAGCAGCCCAGCGGCGGATCGTGCTGCGCTTGGACTGTTTGTCCGCGTTTACAGCAGCCCAACTGCACGCGGTGTTCTGGGTCGCGAAGGTGCACGGCCGCCGCCTCGCTCTCCCTCCTGCACTCTGTCTGCGCCAACTCTCAGTCTCTTTCTGCTCTCGTCTTTTGGGCTGAACCGGCGCCAGGGGACCGGCACGTGTCGCTAGGCGCTTGTGAAGGTGGTTGTGACTTGTTGTGCGACATCAAGCGAACGAGTCCAAACGCGGCACAAACCCACACTCTCCTCCCGCTCTCTCGCGCCCTCCTTCGCCTGCGTGCTCGCACTCGCCTAGGCTCGCGACCATGTCGTCGTCCGCATCCGAAGACGAATCGGACACGCTCTCGACCTTCTTCTGCCGCGCGCTCTACGACTACAGCTCGACGGACGAGTCCGCGCTCTCCTTCCGCCGCGGCGCCGTCATCGAGGTCCTCACCCGTTTAGAAAGCGGATGGTGGGACGGCTTATTAGGCGACGAGCGCGGATGGTTCCCGAGCAACTACGTGCAGGTTATCGACGACGATGAGGCCGATGCGGCGCTGGCCGAGGCCGAGCTTGTTAGTCTCAGCGCGAGCCAGTCGTTTGGCGGCGCAGGGCAGTATCAGCAAGGGCAAGGGCAGTACGAGCCGCACCACGCCCCGCCGGACCCGGTCGTGTCGAACGATTTTGGCTACAACCCCCAATTGCAAGCGCAGCCCCAGCCCCTCCAGCAATCTCAATCCCTCCAATCCGTGCAGTCCTCCACGTCCGCGGCCGACTTCTGGGTGCCCCAAGTAACGCCCTCGGGCCAGATCTTCTACCTGAACACCGTGACGGGCGAGCACGCGCGCGATCTGCCGGCTGACGACGAGGGGCCCGACACGCCGCTGCCCGCGCCGGCCGGGTTCGGCGTCGCGCGGAGGGGCGGCACGCCCGAGCCGTGGAGGCGAAGGCTGGCGGATGACGGGCTGACGTATTTTTATGTGAATGGGGTGACGGGCGAGACGAGGTGGAGTGCGCCGGAGGCGCTGGACGAGAGGGATACACCAGACGTGTCTACGGATTATATGAACCACAACGGAATCGGACATAACGGGAATGGGAATGGGAATGGGAATATCGGGCATGAGGTACAGGCTATTCAACAGCAGCAACAACAACAAGTATCGATACCGCGCCCGCCCACGCCGCCCTCCCGCGCAGCCTTCGACACGCCCGCCGCCGAGCGCGCCGCCCAGACGCTCCAAACGCACCTCGCGCCCCCGCCCCCCGAGTCGCTCCCCGACCTCGCAACAGCGGCCCGCACAGCCGTCGCCCAAGCCGCAAGTCGCATCGCCGTCGGCGGTGCATCTCTCGACAATGCGCTCGACGCGTGCGTTAAAGCATTAAGAGCGTTGTTGTTGGCGAGTGCACCGCCGAGCGGCGGGATACCGCATACGCTGTGGCCGAAGGGCGCGGGGCCGAGTGGAGGGGCCAGTGGGCAGGCGATGGCCGCTGCTATGAAGCCCGCGCAGCGGCGCGTGACGGCTACGCTGTCTAAGCTTGTTCTTGCGGCGCTCGCGGCGTCGTACGATAGCAGTGCGGGCGGGCAGGGACAGGGCGTGCAGGGCGACGCCGCGGCGCGGATGGAGGCGGACGCGACGGAGCTCGAGCACGCGCTCGGCGCGTTCGTGCTGGAGGTGCAGAGGGCGAATACGGCCGTTGCGCCTGCCGAAAGGACGCTGGGGAAGCGCAGGTTGAGGGGCGCGTTTGTGCCGAGTTATATTGGCGCTGGGTTGGTGGGCGCCGGCGCGGCGGGCGGGTGGAGGGGGTTTGGGTTTGTGGGGGTGGCTGAGCGCGAGGGCGAGGAGAGTGGGGG